CCCTGTTATCACAAGCTCGATTCCAGCTCTCAATGGAAAGGGAACAAAAATGCTAACGAATTAATTTAATTTATTCTTCCTTACACCTAGAACCTAGGTTTAAATCTCTTATGAACGAAGAGAAAAATGATATAGCCATAAATCATTTATTGGCTACGTGGGAACACAATAAAGATTTTTTAAGGATGAAGATTTTAAATGTAATGAAGTAATACGGATAAATCTTCCGAAGGAAGGACAAGAATATGATGTTTTAGAAACGTTTCTAAGATCCAAGGATAAAAAAAAAGAAAAACATAACAAAGCTTACAAAAAGAATTTTCAAGCGTCGTCCACATGAATCAAAAAGATTTGCTAAATTACCGGGAATTCAATAAATAGAAAAGCCTATTCTGTATGAATTGGCCAGAATAGTGTCAGCAATTCCATGTGTCCAGGAAAGTGTTGAACGCTGTTTTTCGACACTCAAATTTATACTAACCCCACGCAAAAAACCAATATAGGTGATAATCCTCTAGGAAAATATTATTATTGCTTCGATGTAATATTTGATTCGTTTAATGATTAAATAAAGATTAATTAAAATGTGAATATTTAAAAAATAATATATTTAGAGACATTTCTAAGAACGTTCCGATAGGTGGAACGGAACGATGGAACGGAACCATTTTTTGACCGAAACTGGGAACGGGCTCAAGATGCCCTTGCTCCAGTTCCCTGATGATGTATATCAAAATCGCGAATTGATTATTTATTTTATTATCCATCTGGATTGGCTGCCTTTCTCTAAATCCATGAAATTTAGATTTTAAAAAACAAAACGAACACTAATGGAATAAGTTACCCTCTAGCGGAAAAAATAATAATTCCTTGTTGTAAATTTTTGAAACCTTTTTTTACAACTATTTTTGTATCAGAAACCGGAAATTTTAGGTGAGTATCGGTATCCATTAAAAATTCAAATAGTATATGCGCATCGAGAATGACGTCATTCAATTTCTTTTTCTAAAATTATGACGTTTCGACTTAATTGGTGTTAATGTCGATGTTAGAAGTTTCAGAGATAAGATGAGAATAATTTTTAGATAAATTTCTAGAACTTTTCAAATTAAAAAAAAAATAATTATGCAATATAATACCAATAACCGGATGTCGGATTGACTTCCAAAAAGTTGTATCATTACATTCAATAAGTATAATCCGACTCGGTCTACAGATGCGGTGCCTACCTAAGAAAATCTGTTAGTCGAAGAACGAGTTCCTTCACCAAGCAAAACCTATTCTAGCGTGAAAGATTTTTATCTACTAAGAACCAGGTAAAAAAATCTTCTACAAACCAGTGCAATGAATTTACTCATAATTAATAACTGATTACTAGCATAGATATTTATTTTTTTCATATCAGCCTTTAACCTTCACCACTCAAAAAATATAATATAATATAATAATAATTAATCCCCAATTTATTACATTATAGTAAAATTAAATACGAATTGTAATATTTAACCTAAATCTTTTCCAAAACTTAAAATTTTTTTTTTGTATATTTTAATATTTATATATAAAAGAAAATGTAATTAGAAAAACGTTTTATTATTTAAGCAAAAAAATAATATAATAATAAATTTAATAAAATCGATTTACAATTGACAAATTATTATCAATTAAATATTGATAATTATTTTGTCATCTATTATATAGTGCCCATTTTTGAATAAAAACATTCAATAGAGTCAGCGATACACCGACGGATACCCATATCGGTTTGGACCGGATACTGATATCAACGTTGCGGCCGGGTAAGGATCGGGCTGCGGCTTGGTGCTTGTTTTCGGGCCGGCCCCAACCAATCCCGCGGGCCACGTAGTCACGGGGGATTTGATCAAAAGAGGCAAAAGAGGCGGATCAGAATTGTTTTTTGGGCGACTTTGCCCTCAAGCCCTCATTGCCCCGGCCTTCGTCATGACCCCCCCCCCAACCCCTCTGTTAAAAATTATGATTAGATATTAATGTTATTGATTTGCCCCGTGGTAATTTTATATTCGTTTTTTTTTTAAAAATATGTAATATTTTTGCGTCATTTTCGTTGAAGCGATAATTTTAACGTCAGCGCCAATGTTTCGTGTTTTATTTCAAGATTCTTTTCGGTATAAAGGATCTTAGATACAGATACCAGTATCTTTACCTATGAGTGCTTTAGCCAAGTGTAAACGAAACTTTACGATTAAAAATTGATTGAAACACTTATATTGAAAGTTTTTTCCCCTGTTTACCTATTATTTTAATTCGTTTGGTAGGCAGGCAGTATGAAGGAATAAGTTATATGCAAAACAAATCATATCGGAATAGAAAATGTAGAACTAAATATCTGGTTGGTTTGAGCTAATATTTAGCACCTTATTAATTACCCAATCAATTTATGAGAACCACAAAAAAAAGAAAAAAGCGAATTATAAGTAAAAATGGAAATTAAAAGCTTGACGCCTGCGCCAGGTTTTTGGAAACACCAATTCTTTGAGTTATTCCAAAGAATTAATAATGTGCGGTTTTTTTGCTAAATTCTGTTTGGTAGATGGTGGGCATTATGCCAGAACGGAGATGATAAAAGGTCTAGATATTCTGGTTCGCGTTAATATCTTGCGCCGTATTGATTAATTCTTCGACCAATTTCACTGGTCACAAAAAAATAAACGGAAATAACAAGCCAAATAAAAAGTGTGAAAACTTCTAGAAGAATTAAATACTAAATTTATATCAATGGGTATTTATTGATTGGCATCGTACTAGAAGGCAAATTTTTGAAGCACTGAATATCTGCATGAACCAATAAGTGTTGCCTGATTAGTTCATTTTTTTTCCGACAAAAGCACGAAATATGTCAACCTTTTGAATATTAATTATAAGCGTCTGTGGGAAGCGTCCCATTTTTTTAAAAAAAATAATAATTATTTTTAATATAATTTTCGCACAAATTTTTTACGCGAAAATTCGATTAATTTGTATAAAATGGAATGTGTCTGTCTATAAATAGTATTATTTATTGACAGATCACCCAATTTTTTTTATCTTCTAGATATCAATATAAAAGTGTTACTAGTGAGATGAAAAATTTAATCATATTTTCCATAAGGAAGGTTTCAATCCCATCCTACCCCTTGCTACGCCACTGCTTATGCCCATGACAATTAATACTAACCTGGACGGCCGATTCATTTAATTAAAAGTATACGTACATACGTCAGTCGGTAGTCAATATCATTGGCTGGAGTAGACGCCATTTCGAAATACCTTTTAATGGCGGTCTTAAATGTATGTTCACATTTTTTTTTTGATGCTTAATTCGTCTGCCATTCAAAGTTAAGCGACAAAAAATTGGGATTTATAAATTGTCATATTTTTAGTGGGGTTTTATTTTGATAACGGGTCCTAAATCAACGTGCTAAATGAATGAATTATTGAGTAAAATTGGCCCATCATTTTTCTTATTTTTTTAAATATACGTCATCATTTCGGAGCAAATTTATCGTGATACAATCGTGATCCGTGAGTGATCGCGACATTTCACGCCATTTTTTCCGTGTTCCGCCAACTCGGTCCACGCGGCGACCTTCCCCCTTATGGTATAACAATTTAACATTTTATGGCAAAGCGAAAAAATAAATAATCCATAAAAAAATGGAGATAGAGATCGATAACCGTGTTTTTGTTTTCGTCTTATTTCCGAAACACCATAAAATTTATTCAAGGTTACAAAATAAATTTTCTTTGTCGATAATTGTCGATAATTTGTTGAACAAAAAAAAATGGCGACATATAAGTGTAATTAATCACCCCCTCGCCCCCCCCCCCTCTCTCCATCTTTTTTTTTCTGAAAATAAAAAAATGAAAGCAGCTTTTGAATAAATTATTCTATTGAAGAAATCGTAACACGTATTTAATTTGTTTAAAGGGATGCAGGTGCGAACGTCAGGAAATAATTTTTTATATTATGTATGAGAAACTTATATAATATGACTCTGACAGTCGACGCCGTTCACGTGATGGGAAATTCTGGGACATCTACTCCGTGGGAGGCATCAAAATGAAGGGGAAGAAGATAATTATGATCAATCATAATTTGGATAAAATTAGGGGGAAACAGGGGGGGGGGTAGGTAGTTTTGATTGTTAGGAAAGGTTATAGAAGAGTATAAATTTAGAAAGGGGTAAAATCGTCATTGTATTAGGGGGTGTAGAAGTCCCTATCCTGTAAAGTTCGATCAGCTCAAGGGTAGATTCCGGCTGTTTACAGGGTGCAGGCCATAGTGTAGTGACACCAGCCCATCTTTGGAATCCGCATTGCTAGAACATCTGACGCGTAGGACTTTTTAGATAACACGGGGCGTTACGCTTAGTTTTGAGATCTGGTGCGTAAAGCCTATTACTTTAATAGCGATCAATAATTAAACGAAATAAATAAGCCACACAATTAACATCAAAACAATATTAATATTATACAAGATTTAGATTAGATTATTATTTCATCTTAAAACATTATATTTTTAAAATATTTATTTACACATTTTCGCACATGAAGGATAGAATGGGAATAACAATGATTTATAAAAAATATCGAATATATATTTTAGTTTAGAGATGCTAATCTTCTCAATTCTTTATGTTCTTTCTTTTAATTATGATAAGACGTAACCTTTTAAAAAATATGATTTTATATTTATTTTAAAAAATGTTTACGAATAAATTCGTCTGCTTCATCTGATCACGAAATAATCATAACAATTTTAATTTTTTTAAAAATAAACATGATCGGTGAATACATCTTTCATTATAATTTTTTTTGAAATGTTTTGGAGCTGCCAATAAAATAAATGGTAAACAATTATTTTTTTAGTAGATATATTTTTCATTTCATTTTATTTTTAATTAAATTTATTATTTATATTTAAATTTTTTTTAAATAATAAAAATATTGAATCAATAATCTCATTTTTTTAAAAATAGATTCCGATAACCAATTTTACTTCACACCACCACCTATTCTCCAACAACAGCCATTATCTCATCATTCCATCGTTCCAGGGCTGATTGATTCCCGTGAGAAACCGAGCTCACAAAATGATTCTCCATATCCCTCATCTCTCGGCAAACTGAATATTTCGAGGCAAAATTCGCCTAAAGATTCCAATGTCGTTCAACAGGACAACGGTGATTATAAAGCTAATATGACCGTATTATATATCCCCAGCCTGATAATTGGCTCCCAATATATGACGGACTTGATCTCGGCCGCCTCCCTCAAATTGTCCGCCAACGTTACCAAGATATCACCCCAACCCTCGAACGATTTAAGGTTTCTTCTGGAAGGTGCCCACCCATCTTCCTCCATTTCGTATTCTTTCCAATCGGTTAACGACAAAGATCATCTCGATACTTTCCAACGGGAGAATAATGAAACACCCTTATTTCCCGCTAATCGACACGTGGCCGGCGTCAGAAACAGACCACCCGTCATTGTCGGCTCGAGCTCGACCGGTGGAGACCAGGTCGATTACTATCCTTACTACGCCTACAATTACGTCAACAATCTCAACTCGGACCGTAACTCGGACATGAACGGTCTAAGGGATCGAGAGATCCCTTACAAACCCGGGAATCTTTCCACCTACCCTTACAAACAAAACTCGTACCATCACCATAACAACCAAAACACTTCAAATACCTACGTTAGTCGAACGTCCATCTTGTTTGTATCCATATCTTTCATCGTTCTCATGATAATTTCGCTGGCTTGGCTCGTGTTTTACTACGTACAACGGTTTCGGTACGCCCACGCCAAGGATCAATTGGCGGTAAAATATTATTTTGTTAGTTGGGGAGGGGACATTTTCTTTATTAAATACATTCTATTTAAATAAGCAAATTTTAGCTAGGTCTCGTGTGGGGGAAAAAGCTATAAAAGAAATCAGCTGATTTGTTAATTTTTTTTATCGGATTTAAATTTCGCGAAATCCTACATACAAGGAATGAAATAATATTAGAAGGGAAAAAAAAAGAAAATAAGTTCGTAAGTTTTTTTTTTTTGAAACCTTAATTCTAATAACGATTCTTGTTTAACAGACGAATAAATCGTGGTCTAGTTAATCACGTGATTTTTAATATAAAATGGCTTCCTTACCAAAACAAAATTCTTGAAATACGATACGATACAAATTAAAATTAAATAACTGACCATATGTTTTCTCTTCTTAATAAGAGGCCATCCCGATCGATAAATAAGAAAGAAGGAAAACTTTTTTTACACAAAAAAAAAATAAAGCTGAATATCTTATTCCACAATTTAAATATTTAATATTCTCTTGGTTCCTAAATCTTTTAGTTATTTTCGGGATTCAAACTGTTAGTGATTAATAAGAAATTGTTGAATATAGTAAAATAAAATTTTTCCAACATTTTTGTAATCTATTTAATTAGCGTTTTAGAACCTGTATTAGAAGTAATAGGTTCCCAAGAAATTTTTCCGATGATTCTTACTCTAAAATTCTGGATTATACACCATCCCTGTTACTAGCGTTGGGTAAATCACCTGACTTTATCAGCCGACTCCATAACGGCTTAATTTTACCCTAGATATCTATATCTTTAAGCCGAGACTCGGGCCGCATTCAAAATGGGATCCGATCCGACATGATTTAACAGCTGATCGGTTTTTAAATCGGTTTATTAGAATCGATTTTTCTTTATATTAAAACCAATATTTTTTAGGTTATTATCGTGTATAGAATTAAAATTGATCTCATAAACTAGATTTAAAAAAATCAATCAGCTGATTGAATGCCATTTTTTTGGCTAAGAGCTTGGTTGAGTCCTAAAAAACGATAATATTGAGAATTAGGGAGTTTAAAATTTGGGACTAGAAATAAATAGGTTTCCGGTTGTGATTTTGTAAAAAAAAAATTTTTTTGAAGAGCAAATTCCTATTCCTATCCAGCTCTGGTTCTAGTTTCATTTCCGTTTTCCAAACAATTCAAAAATTTTTTTTTTGTTGGCGGTTTATTTTTCTTTTTTGAAATTCGAAAAAATTTTTTTTTTGTATATAATATTCGAATTTTTTAAATTTTAAAATAGCGTTTAATTAAAGCAAAATTTTGGCATTTCCCCTTGGTTCAATTTTTTTTTGAAATTAAATATTGTATATAAAAAAAAATATATAATATATATATAAATGAGTTGAAATTGCCAAGGTTATTAAAAAAAAAATATTATTTTATCAAAAAATCGAAGCCAACTAGAGGTATAAATTATTAAAAATTTTACCCTAATTGGGTTAGTTGGACCGGATAATCTTTCCGGTTCGGTTAGGTCGGAGTTATTATCCTCTAACCCCCCTCCCCCCCCCCACTTCCTTCATTCGCAGTCATCTCGAATTGGCGGGTTTTTGCCCTTTCCCTATAAAAATAAATAAATAATGCAGTCATTTAAAAATGAAATTCGGTTTTGATTTTGGAGGGCCGGTTAGAATATACGGAATATTTGACCGTTATTTGTCATTATTCGGATACGGTCCAAATAGGTCCGGTGTAGAATCAGATGGAGGCGGCTTTTTTTTGAAAGAATAAATCATCTTGGAATGGATTTCGTGACAATCACACGCCACACGTCATAACCAAGCCCTGATTTCAATAAAAAAATTTTTTTTATCAATGGTCATAGATGTTATAGCGAGACCATAAAAATGAGATTTTAACTCTTTAGCATTTATTAATTTCTGTGAAATAATGGGGGTTCAAAGGTACAAAAATCAACTCCCTTTTTATTTACTTTTCTTGGTTATCAGATCGCTTCGTGAACTAGATATGAAAATATAAGGGGTAGAAATTTTTTTTTAATGATATGTCATATGCCCAATTCAAAAATAATTTCGAAGGACTAATATTGCACCTCAATTTTTTTTGAATTATTTTTTAGTTCGAAATTTATGGAGTCAGCATGGATTCAAAGAATGTAAATCAAAAATATAGATGACGTTAAATTTATATATTTAAATGAGAGTTAATATATTATATATTTTTTAAAATTATTTAAAAATCATTTGTTGCATATATTTATATATTATTTTTTTTTAAAATCTTATTAACGAAATTTCTGATTTTTTCTTTACCATATTTTTTCATGTTGTTTTAGGTGAAACCTAGAAATAAATTTAGACGAGATTTTTTTTCCCAGAATATATAAGTTTGGGGAGTTAATGGATTAACTAAGGAAAGGATATTGGATTTTGGTTAAATTTAAAAGTATCGTCGAAAATAGGAAATTCAAAAGGTGCTGACGCATCATTGGGTTATAGAAATTTTAGTTTTACCCATATGATGTTTTTCATATTTATCGAAAAATGAATTCTGATCACCATTTATTATGATATTAAAGCTCACATGCGATGCGAAGAACTTTAATATGGCATGTTCCCGATTTCATATTTATAGACACCTGAATATGATTTGGTTTTTTTTTGATTGATGGCATAACAAGTAGGGATTTTTTTTGAGTCCTATGATCTTTATTTGTATTGGATAAAGCGACGCGGGTTTGAAAGTATGATTTTTATCTGGCCTTTGAAGATATAGCTCCGCTTTATACTGCCTCCATTGTCACCGCGGACATTTTTCACGTGACCTTTAAAAACAGGCCACTTAGATGCAATGTTTCTGGATCCCCGGTAGAAAGAAGTCTCTCATAATTTTTGGCTTTAACCTTAAATTTACCGATTGAAAGTTTTGTTGCAAGGATTCAGTGCACAAAGCCCTAAATTCAGGTTTTCTAACTTTTCTCCATTTTTTTTATTTCGGAAAATTTAAACCCCCCCCCCCCACCCCTTCCTTATCGTAACTAGCGAATCAAGTTTCTAATAGTTGATTTTTTGCACTCTTGATCCTTGTTATTTCAAGAAATATGGAAGCTGAGGAAGTTAAGATTTCGTGTTTGGCTCAAACTATAACAGATAAACCATTCTAATTTTTAAAATCGAAATTGGTCGGCCCCGAAAATTCTTTTCCTTTATTCACGAGGATGGCAGTATTCGATCATAGATTATTTTTATATTGAAAACGCTATATAAACCCATTTCCGGATTCATGAAAATTTTGAACAGCTTTCGGTTCTTGCATTCGACTCCGTTCTCGGGAATCTTAATTGCTTTTATCCCGGTTACTTTTTAACGGTCGTAAATGATGGATTTTAGTCGACAAATCAGCTGTGGCTGCAAAATCCGAGCTTCACACCTCGAGGACCTAGCCTATTTTACCCCGATATTGCAACATTCATTTAAGAATCCCAAAAAATTTCTGCCCCATTATGCTTCCGGTTTTTAAATCCGAGCTCGACTTTGGACCGACATTTTTTATGGAATTGGCTCGCTAAATTAGTGCCTATTTTTAAACGGGTAACTCGATACTTTTAGTCAAAAAAAAATTATTGCCTAAACCTCAACTTCTACGAACAAAATTTCCAAGCTTCCCTAATATCTTCTAAGAACAAAATCTTCAAGCTTCCCTAATATCTTCTAAGAACAAAATCTTCAAGCTTCCCTATATCTTCTAAGAATAAAATCTTCAAGCTTCCCTAAAATCTTGTACGGATAAGAACGGCTCAAAACGAGTCGTTTAGCAACAACCACGCAAAAAAAATATATAAAATAAAATAAATTATTGTCACCTATTTTAATTAAACACTTATCGATGGTGACAAGGGCAAAATTATAGAGAGAGAAAAAAAGTCAATAATTTTTGCTATATTAAAAATATTATTTTTTGTGTTCAATGATTTTTCTCTTTTTTTTTAAAAAAAAAAAATAGTTTAATAAGTTGATTTTACCATAAAAATACAATGTTATTTGCCTTTTATAAATGTAAAAAACTTTTATATAAAACAAATATTAATATAAAAAAAAAACATTATAATTTTAAAAAGAAAAAAAAAAACTAATTTTCCCCATATATTCGCGAAAAATTTTAAGGAGGTCAAAAAATAAAATTATTTATACGAAATATCATTTATTTATTTTAACATTATATATATATATATATAAAATATATATAAAATTATGATTTATTTATATAGAAACGTTTGAATTCCGCCGCTAAAAAGGCCCTCGTCAAAATCCCGCTCAGGACCGTCAAAACGGACGATAAAGTTTTTATATAAATATATTTTATTCGGGTTTTTCCTCGTATGCCATTTTTTTATATATGTATTGATTTTATCCCTATAGGCAAAGCGTAATTTTAAATTTTTTGAAGTTAAAAACTCAGTATTTCTTCCAGAAAAATATTATGCAAGCCTGAAGATTTTGCTCATAGAAGGAACGAAGGTTCTGACATATAGTATCGAAATCACGAGGCTTAGGCAACATTTTTCCGGCTAAAATAGTGAGTTAGCCGTTTAACAACACTAGTAAAAATAAGCAATGTTCAAAAATATTGTGACTAAAATAAAGATTGATTTATGATTAATCTTTAAAAAAAGAAATTTTTGATATAATATTGTATGTATTAAGAGAATTTAACCTTTATGGTAGTGTAACAAACTTTGATATTAATTTATAAGCATCGAATCACGAGATTCGAATTGGTTCGCAACCATTTTAGCGATTAGGGTCAGATTCGAATAGAGAATTATTTAACAGTATTAAAAATACCGGTTTAGAGGCTCTCTTCGGTTCGGTTTGGATCCCTATTTTTTATGTCAAACAAAGCCCTATAGACCCCCCCCCCCATACCTACCCCAAGCCGAACACTCTCAGACCGCACTCTTGGTGGCTAAAATATAAAATCGTTTCGCGATATTACCTTCGCGTAAAAAGTATTTCGCGATAAAAATTTCGCCGAATTGACCCTAATATACGGTTAAATTCTTTAGCATTAAAAAATTCTTGATCATTTCAAAGATGGAAAGTTCTATATGTCTATTTTTTTTTTTACAAAATCCATAACAGCTGAGCAGCGCACAGATAAGTCCACGGAATTGTACAAGATTTCTGGGCCCCTGGTGGGGGGGGGTGGTAAAAAAATTCACTGTGTCGCCCCTCCCTATCCATAATTAGGATTCTATAATAATTCAATTTATTTTGTAATTTTAACGATTTATTTATTTAACCCCGATAAACTTTTTCGATAAATTAATTAGACAAATTTGTATTTTTATATTTATTTTTTAATATTAAAAAAAATAAATAAAATAATTGCAAATTTTTAAAAGAAGATAATTTTTCCACTTTGAGCATATTCCCATTTTCCTTCTTTAACGGCTGGGGAATGAATTATCAAACTTGCCTATTTCGAACGAGACGGATAAATAGTTTTGACGATTCCAATTCAAAATACGAAAATAACAGATTTATTAATCGTAATTTTTTTTAAAAATGTCCTTACGGACAATTTTTATTATTATACAGTATAGACAGAAAGAAAGAAAGAAAGAAAGAAAGAAAGAAAGAAAATTCAATCCATAAATTATAAATCAATCAAATAAAATTTTAAATTAGTTCGGCAACGATATAAGGTAAAGAAAGGTTTACGCGGGAAATAATTCCCCCGGGAAAATAAAAATCGTCAATCATAATTACCACCAAAATTTTTTTTAAAAAATTTTATTAATTTAAAATTTTTAATATCTTAAAAAATGACGATTTTTTTTCAGGATGTAAGATTTCCATTCTATTCTTCCCTTTTTTCCTGCCTGATTGAATGTCAATTCAAAATATATAAAATAAATTTGGGAAAAATAAAATAAAATAAGATAATGAGGAAATGAATATGAGTAAATAATATATTTCGGAATCATCTTAAATATTTTTTTTAAATTTATTTTGCAATAAATTAAGAATTAAAATGTTTTTTGGTGAATATTTAGTGAATATTTTAATTTAATGCATAACATTACGCTCTTAAAATCATGCCCCGGGGTTGGTTCGGTCCCAAAAAATTCGATTATAAGCAGTTTTCTAATTCAAATATATATATATATATATATATATATATATAAATTATGCGACTTCAAAAATTAATAATTATATTAAAATATTTTAATTTTTTAATAATAAGACAAATTAATTAATTTAATTATCTCTAAATTTTGTTTAAATTATTTGAAATTGCGAAGTAAGAATGACAAATTGATTTTCTTCTTAAAAATATTAGTCAACAACGCCATTTAAGATATAAAATAGGTGTATTAAGGGGGGGATAAGACAAATATTTTTTTTAAGAAAAGTTTAATATTATCAATAAAATTTCAACTGTTCCAAACCCTTCATAGTATCATACCACCATTTTATTTAATTTAGTATTTTGCCTGATGACCCTTTAATAAGGTTTTTCTTCGGCCACTGATAATTTGGCGCTAGTGGCACGGCCAGAAAGGATATAATCGTAATAACAATTAATTCGAAACCTTCCAAGTCAAAATATTTAGCCAAAATACTATGATAGTTTTAAAAACTTGACAAGTTTTGATTCGTTAGTTCGTAGTTTTAAAGCAGGGATCGAAAATCTTAGTGATTTCGGATTTCTGCTCTTTGAAATTCTAAATAGCACGATTTTATAGAGTTAAATAAAGCATACCCAACTCCCAACCTCTATTCAAGAAACGGGACACAGTTTAAAGGCTTCTTTTTTTTTAGTGGATCTATCTTGTCTTCTGTCTACCTAATAAATTTCTCAAATATTTTGCTAAATGATTTATTAAAAAATAATAATAATAATCTTAAACATTTTTATATTTTATTATATATTAAATTTTAGAGATTAATTTTTTTTTTTAAATAAAAATAATTTTAATTTTTATATTTATTATCTTTTTATAATTTTGATTTTTTTATTTATTATCTTTTTATAATTTTAATTTTTTTATTTATTATATTTTTATAATTTAATTTTTATCTTTATATATAAATTGTGATAATCAAAAAAAGTTTTTATGCTTGCTTGAATTTTCTTATAAATTTATTTTTTTTGGATGTTTTTAGATGCGAAAATAAGATATTGAGTTTTGGGGGAATATTTAAAGTCGCTAAAATTTAAAATTTAACAAAAAATGATAACGATGACTAATAAGAACCAGTCGTGCAGAGGACGAATATTTCGGTCCGGACACGATTGAAAAAAAAATAATTTTCTCATTTTTTTTCCCTGCCTGCTTGCATATATTTAAAATAGATTTGGCAACATCTTTGTGAAAATGATTTAAATGTGCAGGAGAAGCAAATTATCACGTGATTTTTCGAATTTTTTTAATAATAGGTCTTTGAAAAATTTTTTAAATTTTACTATCATTTTTGGTCGCTTACCATTTTACGGTCCGTTTTGTCCTGGTCCGAACTTGCCCTTACCCGAGTTTCCCGGGAATTCCTTGTATTTTATAACATTTTTTTTTTCATATGGGAGAAAAATTGTAGTTTGATTTCCCGGAAATCCGCTTTATAAATGGTTCCTTGTCATTATTTGGCGGTCACTTAAGTTGGATGGATATCGCTGAAGCTTCGCTATCACCGATTCGCATTATCGTTATTTAGGCCACCTCCTATCAATCAGTTTGTTTGTATTTTTACAGTTCAAAAGGCACATTTTATAAATTTTAGTCACCTTTCTTTCTACTCGTCATTGTAATTTCTACCGTTATTTATCAGCCACTCGAAGGGTCTAACCTGCTATCTCCTCTTTTCGCTATAAATCATATTTGTAAGAAACCGCCTGGTGTATCTCTCCTGATTTCTAGGTGAAGTTACAGGAGATCTCAAAGCTCTAACACTGGTATGATAGCTTGTTATCACATTTTTTAACCCTGCAAATTCTCCATATATTTTAGAAATCACTTTTCTACATCCTCGTATCATTTTGTTTATTTTTTTTAAAAACTTGACTTTATTTGTATCTTTTAACATTACTAAGACATTTTTAAACTTATTATGATTGGGCTTCTTGTATTAGGTACATAACGTAAATAAAAACTTTAGACCCTCCCTCCTCCCGATGTTTAAAATGAAACTGAATATATACATTGAAGTAAGAGCCAAACTCCCCCCCCCAGTCTTAGAAGTCGGGCGAGCTTTGAACTAGTTTAACAATTTTAATCAGGTTTAACTCGGACCGAAAAAAATAATTAGCGCGTAAAGAATGGATGGGTTATAAAATATAAATCATAAAAATTTAAATCTTGAGATATAATTTTGCTACCAACAAAAAAAAACGTAAAATTATCCAAAATTTTAAAAAAAATTTTTATTCATTTCTTTGGCACTTTTGTAATTTGATTGACTTCTTTCTTTCTTTCTTTCTTTCTTTCTTTCTTTCTTTCTTTTCTTTCTTTCTTTCTTTCTTTCTTTCTTTCTTTCTTTCATATTTCAACACTTGATTCGTGTGTTCAATTTTCCCAGCTATTTAATATATATTAATTTTTTATTAAAAATTATAAAACTTAAATTTTGGATTGATAAAAGCTATATATATATTTTTTTTAATTTTAATTAAATCGATATTTTTTTGGTTTTTTTTTCCAATTATTCTTCTTTTTAAAAGTTAGATTATTCGAAACTTTATCTTTTAAATTCCAGTAGGAAAGTAAGAAAGAATGATTGAAAGAAAACGAGAAAGATTTTTCGTAATAATCATAATAATCTTTTTTTTTTATACGCGAGGAAAAAGGAAAATCAAGTAATTCTATACCAAAGCCTTTTATAAGAAAAATTAATTAAATATTGTAGAGCGTTAATTGATTGGCGGGCGTCACAAATTTTGTGTGTGTATCCTTAGGACTTGTACTTTTATATAATTAAATATAGTAAATTTTGGGATAATGAAAAGACAAAGTTTCCTTTTGTTGAGGCATTAGCCTAGCAAAACTGTCAATCAATCCGAATTAGAGGCGAAAAAAAATTTGCCCGCGAAACGCTTCCACCAGCGTGAAGAGAGGCGTATAAGGCAACTATCGATTAACGGAGTTGGGGAGGGGATGGGTGTTTAGAATTAATCTAATATAATTTTTTTTAAACTCATTATAAAAGTTTTTAAATTGCGATAATCTTCGTCACCCTTTTATATATATATGTATATATAATTTAAAATAAAAAATACTATGTATCACAGGCTACCGGTCCCGATTCTGACGCATGCGCAGTTTGTATCGAAGGATTTAAGCCTAACGAAATTGTCAGGGAATTGAAATGCGGGTAAGAAATGAAATATTACAGAATATTAAAAAAACGAATGAAACACAAAAAAAACAAACAAAATTTGTAATAAAATTGGTATATTAAATTTTTCACAAGAATTGTAGTGGTAAGTTTTTTTAAAAAACAGAAATATAAAACGTTTTTTATGTTTGTTTTCGGGTTGTCGATAAAATGTCTATAAAAAACATCCGGAATTTAAAAATCTTCATAGATTTTTTTGCAATCAGGCTATAGTTAGCCCCTTAGCCCGTGTCCCTAACTTGTCTTATTTCTTGATTCTATTCAAAGAAGCATAAACTGGGCACAACTTTTTTGGTTTTTTGACTCATGGGTGACGATATCTTTAAAATAGCATGAGAGGGTGGGTATGCTTATTCCCTATTTTAAATCTGAAAATCGTTTTTCAGAACAGTCATTTAGAATAAGGAAGTTTTTTTAAAAAGAAACAAGTCCGGAACCAGTGCGGTTAAACGGCTCCATTCGAGCCGGTTTTTTAAAATCGGCTAACTCAATATTTTATCCAGATGAATACCGGTTTTTTTAAAAACGGCTAACTCGATATTTTATCCAGATGAATATTACGCAAGCCTGAAGATTTTGCTCATAGATGACCCGAAGGTCTAAACATTCGATAGCGAATCTCGAGGCCTAGGCAACATTTTTCCGGCTAAAATATTGAGTTAGCCGTTTTTAAAAACGGATCAAAAACGGGCGGTTTAACAACACTAACAACCGATAACACACTTATTCATTTTTTTTATAGAGACCTTTGAAAGTATTTTTAAAAAATCGGTCCAGCGTGACGTGGACTAAACTTGCCCCCACTCTGTGTGTCTCTTTTTTTTTTAAAGTTCATTTATTTATATTTAATTCGCAGCCACTATTTTCACAAAATATGCGTGGATACTTGGTTGCTGCTACAAAGATCGTGTCCAATCTGCAAACTGGATATTCTAGAGGCCTACGGTTTAACGGTAATTTTTACAAACTTTTTATTGGAGTTATATCTTTTAAACTCATAATCATGAGGCTCTCACGCTCTATACTTCCGCTATAGGTTATAACCGATAAACTTATATTAAGCCGTCACCCGATAGCTCCAAAATTGGGTTTTTAAATTTTACGTTACGTTTTAAAAAAAACATCCAACGCGCATGCGCTTTCAAATTTAGGCTATATTTTGGGAAATCAATATTTTTTACCCATTTTGAAAACTAATTTTCATTTGAAATGCATTATTTACTTTTTTTAGGCGGTAGCGTTAAAAACGCTAAATTCGTAGGCATTATCAGATAGCGTTAGCTTTTAAGAGTTGATATTATTTTTTTTAAAGAATTTATCTCAGTACATAACCATAGCACGGTGTTAAAAACAAATGACACGAAACATGTGTGTATCTTCTCGGACACCTATGAGCTATATCTTAAAATCAAATTAATTTGTAGCTTTTCATATTTTTTAAACATTTATAATTAAATAAATCTAATTAAATTGACTTTAACTGTTAAATTTTTTTTTTGAAATTTTATCGTTTATTTTAATTAAAACAACTTTTTTGCCTTCACATAAAAGTGACAAAATATTTTTAAAATTTCGCAAACATAAAAAGCAAATAGAATGTTTTTCCGAGGTATGGCGATTTTCAGTTTAACCGGGTTTGGGCAGATTTCCCTCTGATTTATTCTTCAGGAAATTTCGTATGCAATCGGATGCCCTTCCCGATCAGTTTTTATACCCAATCGAAGAGACGATGCTCTTATTCTAGACCCAGACTACAACCTTTTAGACCTACATTAGTTGCCAAAAAACGTTGCCACTCCCCCCATAAAAAATTATGTATAAAAATAGTGTTTATTTGTGCCTTAATATATCAATGGTACAACAGATGTAAAAAAAACTTACACCAATGACCATGTGAGGTCAGTGCGAACCAAATAAGATCTAAAAAAGTCATAACTCATGATCCACCTAATGAAAATCAAAATTAAATTACACATAAATATTAAGCTAACTAAAAGATCCAGACTAAAGTATCGAGATAATTTTGAGTGATAACGGTTTTGAAAATACTGGGTTCGGCATAATCTCACCTAGAGGAATGCCCGGATTTTTAGCCAAAAACCCCGCCCATCCGTTGTTCGGGAATTTTTTTTTAAATCTAACTCTCAAAAATTATTTTAGATCTTTTTAAAACTTGTAAAAACACCGTTCAAAATTAATTTTTGGGTAATCATATTTTTTTTTTGTATAAGCTATTAAAAAGAAGGCAAATAATTACATTTTATTTATGTGACTATTATAACTATAAAAAATAATATAATTATTATTATGATGATATCTATTTTAAAGGCCGATCTCGTAAAATTATTGCATAATTTTTCAGGTATATTAATAATAAATAATAACATAATCAAGGTTAACAAAAATATTTTTTTTTTTCGAATTCATTGAAAAATTGACGAAAAAAAAGTATTGGTTAAAAAAAAAAATCGATAGTTAATATTATTATCGTAGAACCCGCAAAACCGAGTTTCCCATTGCGAATTAGCCCTTAAACGGTACGAGTTCAAAATCCGGGCCGGGAAGGGCTTAAGAATTAAACGAGTCGACCAAACCCGATCAGGTTACAAATCCGTGCCGGCTAAAATTATTTCGAATAATTTAAAAATAAGCGAGCCATAAAATAATCGTCATTTAACAATTCCGGGCTCGGCCTAAAAAACTCGGGCCGGGTAATTTGAAGGAAATACTGACCAATTAAAATAAATCCGGTTTTCTGACGCCGACTTCAGCAAATCTTATATATTTATATATGTAATAGGAATGACTTTATTTTATATTTTGCATAATCAATCAATCTATTTATAAATTATATATTCAAACCCCCCCCCCCCCCTTCCACTCCTGATTATCGGTAAATAAAATTAAAAATAGAAAATACTTAGACATTGATTAGTAAAAACAAGAAAAAATCAAAAATTGACTATTTATAAACTGTTTTATATTTTTTATTTTTTTTTAACCAAAAATATACCCTCCAACTAGAATCCTGAATACAATTTTGTTAAACTCCCCGAAATTTTTGTTCGATTTACTCCACCAGGGTAAATATAAATTTTTATCTTTTATGAAAGTTATAATTAATAACGTTGGGAAAATTTTGTTAACCAATAAACTTAAGTATCTTTATTATCTAAAATTCTTTAATTTGACATTTCGTATTCTTTTATTTTTTAAAATATAATTTTTATCTTTTTCTTTCTTTTAGAGAGGGGGGGGGGGTGGGGTTAAATGAGTTAGGTTTCGCAATTGGCGGGGATTTATTCCTTTAAGTAAAAGTACATTCAAATTTTCATTAATTTTTGGATAAATTGACGGATGGGTAAATAAAAAAACCCATGGGCGGACGGACGAGAGGGTGAATTTTTTTTTAAATAGAGAGCGTTCGGGCTAAAACCTGTCCATTGTAAACCACTCCAAAGTGAGTGACAACTGAACCAAAAGAAGTGTATAATAAATGGTGGCTCTACTCACGCTTACAAGATAATGTTAATTAGCTTAAACCAGGAATCGAAATACATCCAAAGACCGGAACTCTTGGAACTTCCAAAATTTAAGCAACTAGAACTATTTTGTTAGAATTATCGGGAACCCGAAACGGAAGACTTTTTGGTACAGATTCTAATTTCCGGTTTAAACATCCAGTTAATATTAAGGCTCCTGGTTATTTGGGCCACTCTAAAATGAGTACTCCATTTTAAATAATAATCAATTTCACATTTTTTTCCCCAAAACTAAATTCTTCTCAAAAGAAATTAGAATATATTTCAAATTCGTCCCCAGATATAATAAAAAAAAATTGTTCAATTAAAGTTTGGTTTAATATCGGGAGTTTTACATATAACTGATTATTTAACATGTCACATGACCTATAAAATCTGATAGATTAAATGATATACTATGACAAGGAGACATTTGCAAATCACTGCCCGGGTTCGGTCTGCGGGCCGTGCTCGAAAAATTAAGCCCAATGCAGATTACTAATGACAAGTGACACCTGCCTTAGGAATTTTATTAATATTGATTTACAATTATTATACTATAACAATTATACACTATGTTTCTTTTGGTTAATGTTAAATATAACATATGTGATATTGTATGATTAATTGATATAATTATAAAAAAATTTTTTTACATCAACCACCGCGATGAGCCATACGTGCCCTCCCAGAATTGCTAAATTTCACCATATTTTCAGGTTTCTGGCCAGGCTTCGCTGGTTCTGATATATATTTTTATAGGTATTATAAATGAGTTTAAGGATGTCCATGGTTATCAAAGAGTAGTTGTCAATACAAATGATAACCCATCAATCAAAGATGGAGCGAAGATAATAAAAATAATAATTTGTCCATCAGCGTCAAAAAATTCCTGGCGAATTTTAGGGACGGGAGAGGGCGGGAAAAAAAATCAAGAAATGAATCTCTTTTTCGGGTTACCGACACACCCGGAGACCGATGTCTTCAAGACCTCGATTGGACAAATGAAAGGAAGTCACTATAGGTTTCGGCGAGCCGGGGTTCAATGGGAGCACATTTTTTGTAAAATTTTTCGACTTTCAATGATTGTACAATTCCAATTTTTGAGGTGACTCCCCCAAAAATTTGACCTAGGCTATATCCGCTGCCTTTTCCCTACTGGACAAAGGGGATCATAGGAACGGGGAAAAAAAATTTTTGAAATTTAATTTTGAACCGCGGGCTATATAATAGTGCGCACAAATTGAACGCTTTCAAAACGCAAATAAAAAAAAGGTAAACGCAGCTGTGATTGAACCGTTAGCTGTCCAATTTAAACGAACGCATTTAAAATGTATTATTTGCGTTTTCGAAACGCTTATATTTATGCGCATGCGCACTATTAATGCAATTATTGCATCTTTTCCCATCAATGTTAAAAAAAATAACCAAAAAAAACCAACTTTTTTGTAATGTTTTATAGAGAAAAAAATATTGTTAATTTTTTTTTCAAGGTTATTTTGCGTTTTTTTGCACGTTAAAAAAAAAGGATTGATAAATAATTTTTTTCGCAGATTTTTAAGAATAATAGTTAAAATCGTGTTCTTTTGTGATATTTGCCGATTTAAAATCTCTGTTAATAATAGACGACAAATCAATGGATTATTTTACCCCCCCCCCTTACCCTCTATCTCCCCTTCTCTCTCATATTTTCATATTTGTCATTTTACAAGCAACAAAAAAAGGTATCACGATACATGTACGAGTACCGTTCGAGTACGCTTCTTAACAAATTAGCTACTCTAAAAAATTTTATTTGGAATGAAAATAAACAATCTTATCTTGCGTCATGCATTGCATTTATTTACCGATTTGCATAATAAAGGGGGGTAAATTAATCGGAATGATGACGTACATAACATATGTTAGAGGCGAAAAAAAATCTTTATAATCTGTCGGCAGATATCTCCTCTAGAAAAATGATCAGTGGCCAGGCCTTAACGACTCTCGTTAATTTTTTTTATTTACTCCCTTTTAAAAATTTAAAGTAGAGGAGAGAAAAGCAAAGTGTTGTATTTTTCAGGGTTCATTTATTTTTATAAGTCGCCGCCGCTTATGCTTTATTTGAAGTATAGAGCGAGTTTCATCGTCAACAAAGTAGTACTAATAAATGGGCCCTAACAGGTTTTGAACCAACTCTTTAAGCTATAACTATCATGTTAGCACTTTATCGAAGTTTATAAACTTAAAGGATAGCTTAATCTTGGACAACAAAAAAATATATAATCCTTTAACGCAAAGTTTGCCGAATTTTTTTTCGACTGTCAGGATTTAGACGAATTTGACAGCACTACAGGTAAGAAAATAGTCCAATTTTAACAAAAATCTTTTAAATATTTAAATGGGAATTTTATTTGGTTCTTCGGTGTCCTTTTGCCAATTAGCCATTTTTTTTAAAATTGATTGACCGACACATATATTAAAAAATTAATCAAATAGGACCATTAGGAACATATTGACAATTTATAAATTTTTTATTTAGGCAGCGTCTACGCGACATAAAATTTGTAGGCGAACACCTTCTGAAATCTAATTCCTATCACTTTACAAAAAAAATTTACCCATCCATATTGCTCTAAATAACCAGTGACATTCATTAAAATCTTATAATGAGCCACAATTTATAACCTCGGAACAATTCTAATTAAATCAGGCCATAAATAAAGAATTTGTTCATAATAAATGAAATCGGATGTCTCAAATTTTTTGATAGTATATAAAAAAAATCATAGCCCCCCCCCCCCACGCTTTTTTAGCCAATCACCATCGTCTAATATATTCATATTTCCCGCCCCTTAGAAGGGTTATTAAGTTTACTTTATATTGGGATGTGATGAAAGTTTGAAATACATTATCTTTTATAAAAGTAAAGAAAACTGGTTCATGGTTGAAAAAGTTTCTATACCCCCTCCCTTAAAATATTTTGATTTTGTTTAGGGGCGAGTAATGAAAAACCAAGTTTAGATCCTGGAAATATTTACTAATGTAGCTTTAATTCACACTATAATTTTTTTTTGTTAAGGCTGCGTCCAAATTCATTTGAAAAAATACTTAAAATTTTAAAATTTTCATAAATTAATAACAAAACACTTTGGACACATTTAAGTTTTAAAAAAATTATTTTACCTTTTAGAATCTCTGTTGTTTCAGATTCTATAACTTTTAATTTTTTCCTTTTAAATATAGGAGTTGGAATATTTTTAATGATAATTGGATTTTCATTCTCTTTGTTTGTGGTATTTTGATCTAACTATTATTCAATAATAAATATATAATAATAGTTAAATAATGTACAGCATCCAATTCAAATACTGGATTAGCAATTTGATTCAGATATGATTCTGCCTAAAAATAAATTACTTTTTAATACAAATATAAAATAATACTGTTCCCAGATGGCTATTTTCATATTCCTAATTAAAATCAATTTTATATTTTTGTCTTTTAATATTTTACATTTGTCTGTGTCAATATCAAGCTTGACTCAGAAAATTTGGTAATATTTTCAACATTTTCCTTCAACCTGCCTAATTTCTATAGAATCTCTATTTAATCACATAAGGTGATGTCAAAATATTAGCTCAATAAAACTTAGTAAATATTTTCTATATAAATAGTCAATATCTTAATAAATCATACCCTATTATTCTTTTTACATTAATTTCTAAAGTTAATATTGGCTAAATTATGGTAAAAATAAATTGCAAAGGGTTTGTTTTCAATTGATCATAATTGAAGTTATATGTTTGATTTTATTTCAAAATTTTTTCATAGTCCTGGCCTTTCCTCCCAAATTTGCCTAATTTCTATAGAATCTCTATTTAATCACATAAGGTGATGTCAAAATATTAAATTATTGTTTCAAAATTTATAATATATACACTTACTAATCTTAAATGTACACTTCTCCCAACCATGTTATCCCTGATATTTTTATTTATTGGATTTTCATAATCGTTTTGGTTAAATTTATAAAAATTAATATCATTAAAAATTTTACTTACTAATTTTCTTCTAAAAATTTCAAAATTTTGAATATATTTTTATTTAACTTTATTTTTTTTTATTATTTTTAAAAAAAAAATAAATTTTTACAAATACCGAAAAATGAAATAGGACACTATTTTATTTTTACATTAAAAATAGCTATGTTATTTTTTTCCTCAAAATTTATTTATTTATTTTATTTTTTTTAATGACTTTGGACGCAGCCTAATGGGTAGATTCAACTAGAAATCATCAATAATCTGTGATTGTACCCCAATTCCAGGGTTCTCTGACATTAATTGATAGAAATTTTGAAAAAAGGGAACGGATCTTTAAATTAATGAATATACCCCCCCCCCCTCCTTTCAGCTTTATATTTTGTTTTTGTGTGTGTGTTTTTAGAAACGTGGCAAGTTTTCCTTATATGCGTAAAATTGTTTTACGGGTCAGAGGTCAGGTATTGAACAGTTTTTCTTGATCAACTCGCTAGGATAGGATAAGAATGAGGGCTGAAAGTAAGAGCGATGAAGGGGCCTTACAATTGGGAAGACCTAAATTCTACACCTTGATATAATATTACACCTCACCCCTTTACTTCCCCAATTACACCGCCAAATTAATCCTATTTGGCGCCTTTTCAAATAATTTTTTTTTTATAACTGAAAAACCTCTTCTTCGCAATCTAGATCGACAAATCGAGGCGCTCTTCGAAACAGTGCAATAACGGCAGCAATCACCATAATCTTCTCGTCAGTAATCAATCCAACCGTTCTAGCACGGGCATCAGTTTTCAACCCTCCTTGCCCGGACTTCGTTTGGAAAATTTGCATCAAGCCTACAGATCTAACCCCGCTTCCAACCAACTTTCGTCCAATAACAATTCCAGCTACTTTTACACGTCGCCTACCCCTCTTCCATCGCTGTCATCACCCAATAATAACAACCAAACTAACGACCACATGGTAAGCGGTGTCGGGGGGCGAAATTTTTTGATGCGGTTGCTGCTGTACGGGAACTTCTGGTCCGCTAACCGTCGTAATAACGCTAACAACAACGGCAGCCGCAATACCAGAAACGACCGAGGCAATAATAGGGTTATCACTAGGCGGGCAAGGGCCGGGGCGGATAGGGCAAGTACGGCCAATCAAAATTTTGGCACAAATTTCGTTGTTAGTTTGGCCGGGAGCAAGCCTAATACTCACCCCTTGAACCACGTTAACGATATAGCGATTACCCTCTCGACTACCTTCGACCTCAGCCCGAATATCAAAAGGGACAAGGGGCATGCGCACAATGATTCACAGCGTGAGATTGATAATTTGGACTCGAGTAGCATTAGTAGGTACGATACGCCAAATTTTTCCGATTCCAACGGTTCGGAATTCGGTATAGACCAAGTGTTGGCGCTCAACGCTAAGGCCACCGCTGGCGGAAAAAATAGGTATATTTTTTTATAACCCATTTTTTTTAAAAAATTCTCCCGTTAAATTGTTGTATAGGAAATTTAGCATCGAACGTTCATCCGCTATAACGCCCAAGTTAGGACCCAGTTAAAATCCAAGGAACCGGAAAAAAAAATACTTAAAGGTCATTGAATGTTTCGGGGCTTAATAACCCGGACCAATATTGTATTTATATTAATACTTTTTAATTATACATGTTAGCTAGTGTTGTTAAACCACTCGTTTTGAGCCGGGATTTAAAAACGGACTAACTCAATATTTTAGCCAGAAAAAAATGTTTGCCTAAGCTTCGAGGTTTCGTTAATAGATGTCCAAACTTTTGTTCCTTCTAGAAGCAAAATCTTCAGGCTGCCCTGATATTTATTCTGGATGAAATATTGAGTATCGGCTCAAAACGAGCCCTTTAGCGCCACTAATGTTATCGTCAATGTGTTATTTTTTTTTTCAAACTTTGAAATCATTTTTTGATCACGTGGGCAGAAAATTAGTAACGTAACTGGATGGCCCTTACTTTTCGATACATTTTAAATTTAAAAATCTGATTTTACCGGGAATAAATAATAAATGACTCTCCATTTCCGGTTAAATAAAATGACGCGCTCAAAAAAAAAATCATTTAAAGTTGAAAAAATTACACATTTGCCGCTAACATTATATAATAGTGTTTACAAATTGGGCGGAAGCGTTAGCGTTATATTTTTTTTCGTAAACACGTGTTCAACGTTCACGTTCCTTCAAAACTTTATGAATAAATTATTTATTTTTTTTTAAATTTCTAATTAATATTTAATTTAATATAAATAAATTACATATTTTTATAATTCGTATTTTTAAATGAATAAAAAATATATATTTATATAAATATAACTTGCTTCATTATATGAAAAATAATTATAAAAACAAAAATCAATATATATATATATATATATATTTAAAACATAATTGTTTAATTATAACGAAAAATATTTTTTTGTGGTTAAATTCTAAATATAGTTGCGATGCAAGATATAAATAAAATAAACAAAACAGTTTTTAATATATAATAAATAACTATATTTGATAAACTAGGATGGTAATGGGAGTGTTTCGAAGAAACATTTGTAGTTCCCCTTTAGGATTTCAAATTGGACTTTTTGTTTAAGAGATAGGGACTCGTTTTTGACCCCTGTCCTTAACGAATTTCTTATACCCAATTGATTTAAGAACTTTAGGGATTGGGGACCGGGGTTTCCAAGGACGCTAAAAATTAGGGGAATAAATATAAAAGAATTAGGAGGAATCTATATTTATTAAACTTATTGGTTTCTTGTAGTTCCAAGGGGTCGGTATTTCCGTTAACCGGAAAGAAGGTAACACAAGAGACGTCCCAGACAAGTCTTTTGCCGCCGTGCCAAGACGTTAAAGATATGCCGTCGGGGCGCTTACCGTCCGCATTTAGGAGACCTAATGGCTTCAAACTATTGGGGAAACCGGCGTAAATCAAGGCTTTGCCGATTAACCTATTAAGGTTGTCGTGCCTCAGGAAACGGCCACTGAATTTGAAGCACGAGAAACAATGTCTAGAGAAAGGATCAACCTGTCTGTGACAGGCAGCACAGGTGTCCACAGAAGGGATGAGGCAACCAAGCCTATGGCCAATGGCAGTTTGAAACTCATCGTCTGTGAGTAACGTTTCCTTTTTACCACTCGGAATCGCGTCTAGCCATTCATGGCCGTTAGAGTTTTTTTTTGCGTTTCTGAGCAGTTGAAGGTTAGTTAGATCGGGATACATACAAAGTTTTTCAAACGAGCATTGAAGCATAGGGACCAGGAAGCTCTTTAGATGGCAGGAAATTGGCTGCTCGGAGCCTTGGGTGATTAGAGTAAGCCACTCTTGTTTAGCTGAAGATAATTTAAAGTTATACTCCATCAACTAAATCTTTTTTTTATTATTATTATTTTTCTTAAATTTTTGATTCCCCCCCCCCCTTTTTCTTAATAATACCCCTTATACTTTATACATCTAATTTTTATTATTTTAAATTTACCAGCCCCCCTAATTTCGAATAATTGGTCTTTCCATAAATAGGAAAAAGTGTGAAATTTCCTCCCTCAACAATAAGGATTTTATTAAAAACTTTTGACGATTTGATCCAGTCCCTTTCCAATTCACTCAAGAATCTTCCTCATCTCCCCAAGCATTAGTTCTTCTTTCTCACCAAAAAATGTCTTTTTCTACCGAAATTCTTACATTTATTTAAATCTTCCCCCGTTTTCCAGTACAATACTCTTCTTAAGGTCTTCGAATTAAAATTTAAACATTTTATCGAATCCCTTTTAGGCTTAAATTTTTCCGATTTCAATTGGTCCCTCCCATCTATGCCCGCTTACCGGGGTGGACTGGGATTTTCACCCCCCTTCCTTATGGCAATTGCGTGCTTTCTTTCATCTCGAATATCCTTCGCCGATTCTATTTCCTCGCTTATCGAGTTGGACGATCCACTTTCTTCAGCTAAACAAGAGTGGCTTACTCTAATCACCCAAGGCTCCGAGCAGCCAGTTTCCTGTCATCTAAAGAGCTTCCTGGTCCCTATGCTTCAATGCTCGTTTGAAAAACTTTGTATGTATCCCGATCTAACTAACCTTCAACTGCTCAGAAACGCAAAAAAAAACTAACGGCCATGAATGGCTAGACGCGATTCCGAGTGGTAAAAAGGAAACGTTACTCACAGACGATGAGTTTCAAACTGCCATTGGCCATAGGCTTGGTTGCCTCATCCCTTCTGAGGCCTGTGCTGCCTGTCACAGACAGGTTGATCCTTTCTCTGGACATTGTTTCTCGTGCCTCAAAGTCAGTGGCCGTTTCCTGAGGCACGACAACCTTAATAGGTTAATCGGCAAAGCCTTGATTTCGGCCGGTTTCCCCAATAGTTTGGAGCCATTAGGTCTCCTAAATGCTGACGGTAAGCGCCCTGACGGCATGTCTTTAACGTCTTGGCACGGCGGCAAAAGACTTGTCTGGGACGTCTCTTGTGTTACCTCCTTTCCGGCTAACGGAAATACCGACCCCTTGGAACTACAAGAAACCAATAAATTTAATAAATATAGATTCCTCCTAATTCTTTTATATTTATTCCCCTAATTTTTAGCGTCCTTGGAAACCCCGGTCCCCAATCCCTTAAGTTCTTAAATCAATTGGGTATAAGAATTTCGTTAAGGACAGTGGTCAAAAACGAGTCCCTATCTCTTAAACAAAAAGTCCAATTTGGAATCCTAAAGGGGAACTACAAATGTTTCTTCGAAACACTCCCATTTCCCTCCTAGTTTATCAAATATAGTTATTTATTATATATTAAAAACTGTTTTGTTAATTTTATTTATATTTTGCATTGCAACTATATTTAGAATTTAACCACAAAAAATTATTTTTCGTTATAATATTTAATTTATATATATATCTTTTTTTCTATGTATATCATATTATTTTTAATATAATATTTTATTGTGATTTTAAAAAAAATAAAATAAAAGAAAAATTTGATATTGCATAACAAAAAAATAATAATAATAAAAATAAGATTTAGTTGATGGAGTATAACTTTAACTGATATTATTGCATAACAAAAAAAAATAATAATAAAAATAAGATTTAGTTGATGGAGTATAACTTTAACTGATATTATTGCATAACAAAAAAAAATAATAATAAAAATAAGATTTAGTTGATGGAGTATAACTTTAACTGATATTATTGCATAACATGGGAACAAAGGAATTAAATGGACGGGTAAGACGAAGGAATGCATCAATAAAAATGGAAGTTAGCAAAGAAAATTTTTGGGAAATGTTAGGGTGTAGTGGGAAGATTTGGCAAATAAAATGGGACATTTATAAATGACCGTAATAAAAAATAAGAGGTTTAACGTTTAACTTCATAGGGGAATTTTTCGGGGTGTGATGTTATAGGGGGGGATGGGAGGGGGAGTTAGGAATAAAAGGAATAATCGCTAAGGAAAAATTAAATTGGCCGGGAGAATTTTCAGTGTGGAGTGAGAAGGTTTGGTTAATAAAATGGATCATATCATTAGAATATAGCTTCGTCGGGATTTTCAGGGTGTGAGGATAAGAAGAGGTTTGGCAAATAAAAAAAAACGAATCGAAAATAAAGGAAAAACAAGAAATCCAAAAGAAAAAAATTAAACTTTGTCGGGAAAATCTTTAGGGTGTGGTGATGTAAAAAGAATTCAAACTTTAGGAAATTTTTCTACGGCTGCCAAATAGGGAGATCTCAAGGTTTGTCTTAGCACTATTCGTGTCACGACTGAAGTTGAGCGCTTCTTCTATTTGATAATGAAAGTTTTGATAGGACGAGCCTCCCTCGATCGTACTTTCCGCGAATGTTGATGTGTAGTTGGAAGAGCGATAATTGATATTGAATAATAATAATATAATATACGAGGTTCATCAGATACATTAAGAATATAGATAATGTGAATAGATGATAGATTTCTCTTCCATTTCATGAATCGTATGATTAAAAATTTTTTAAAAAAAAGTAACGTCATCTTTTTTTTAAAAAAAAAAATTAACAATCTTCTTTTTTTTTGCTATAAAAAATATTTTACCATTTTTTAATTTTTATAACTAATAATGGCGATTACTAAATAAAGTATGGGGATTCGGAATCTGAATCATTTACCGAGGTACATTTCCGGTTAAATTTAACCAATTAAACCGGAAATGTACTCTAAGCACGTGTAGAGTATTTAACCCTATAAATTCCCGCCAAAATCATCCGCAGACATTTTGTTATTATTTTTAAAATTTTTCGGAGTAGTTCTAAAGTTTATCGCAAAATTGTTCGCGATTTACGCGGTTTTGGTACTCTACGCATCCTAGGATACATTTCCGGTTAATCGGATTTCTAAATTTTTTTAACTCGCCCTCGGTAAAGGATTTAAAATTGACGGATTCCGCATACGCATACTACCTATATATAAGTGTCGAAGGTTCTTACAAGAGAGCTTAATTTAATAATGAATATGTTCCTATGAGACAAGATGAATGCGATAAAAAAAATTTTTTAAATATAGAATGCAAACCGGGATAAATTGCCTTTACTTGATATGATTATTGGGCTGAAATATAAAATTATCGAATTTTGAATATTTATTAATTTTTTATTCTATTTTCCCCGCTTAGTTGGAGGGTTTGAATTAATTGATGAAGGAAATGAAGAAACGCAGGTTGCGTCCCAAATAAGGGATTTTGATGCAGAAAAAGCTGGTTTGATTCCCAGTTAGTTTTTCCTAAAATCTAACTCTTGAACGAGATTTGGTGACGACCCTATCCGATGAATAAATAATAAGTGCTAAGCAGGAAATCATATATCATCTTCAAGTATTAAGGAGAACTTCAGAACCCAATAATTTGTGATACCAAAAAACTTTTATGTATCCATAGGCGCTTCCCATCCAATAAATTTAATCTCCCCCCTAGGAAAATTCGGTCCACTACTATATGTCCGGAATCATCAGATGATCATGATGAGATGAGAACATCCATGCTTACGCTAATTTGTAAAATATAATTAATAATATTCAAATTAACAAACTATAATAGATCAGAAATAGTGACCAGTTACACAAATTCATACGTGATAAGGAACAGCTGATTAATCAAATATTGAATTTATATTTATTTATTTTCAAAATGAATAAAAATACGAACGCGTTCGTCAAAAGAAAGGAACGCGTTCGCGTAAACGAAGTTCGTTCTTGAACGCTTTCGTTTACAACATTACAACTATTTTGCCCTCCATTTTTTTTAAAGTCAAAAAAGAATGGATATTGATTGGCACGTTATTTCATTGTAGGAAATTTTACGACAGAACAAATGTGCTCCAAAAAACATGAAAATTTTTATGACCCAATTAGAACCCGTTAAATCTAAACATTTTTAAAAAAAATTGTCTGTCAAAAGCGTTTCTAACAAAACGAGTCTTTTAAAGATATTTTAGTCACGAAAAACAAGGAAGTAAATTTTATGCTTCAAGAAGGAAAGTTTTTTAAATTTTTCACTTAAAAATGCATTTTTTTTTTAAATTTCAAACATTGGGAAAAAAAAAGCAAAAAAGACCGGTTCTTCAAGCGGGGATTCGAATTCACGCGCGAAAATAATCTTTTATTGCCGTCGTACGCATTGAGATCGCCGAATTGTACCCATCAACGTCTCGTTCCTCAGCCCTTATTCTTACCTTCGTCTATCACCGGAAATATAAATCGGGATACTTTACCCAGTGGTATATAGTGTATATATATATATGTGTTAGGCTTGTATTGTGTCTTAAAGAAAAAATTATGCCTTTTTGTACCCAATTTAAGATATCTTTGCATCTCTTACTTCTATTTCAAAATTCGATATTAAGACAGTCTTGGAGTCTTGAAAATTAAAGGAATGGTATTATATACTTTTCATAGAATAACTATCTTCTTAATTTTCCTAGATGAGTGCGAAATAGGCGCCGATCTTTTAAAGACGCCCTTGAAAAATATATTCTATAAATCACGTTTTTTAGGATTTAAAAATCAAATTTTATAATTTATTTAAAAAAAAATAATATAAAACTGTAACCTGGAGGAGCAAAAAGCTTTTTATTAAATGTGCCTTCATTTTATTATACATATGCTTCCTTGCGGTTATTGATAAATCATGGTCAAATCAACAATTTAAATATTTTATCACGTGTTTGTTATCAATATTTTCCGTTTATAATTGCACATTCTTATTCGAAGTTGGTGTTATTTACCGGCTCGTTTTGAGCCGGTTTTTAAAAACGGCTGACCAAATATTTCATCCAGAAAAAATATTACGCAGGCCTGAAGATTTTGCTCATGGGAAGGAACAAAGGTTATCGAAATCTCCAACCTAAAATATTGAGTTAGCCGGTTTAAAAAAATCGGCTCAAACTGAGCCGTTTAACAACATTATTCGAAGTTTAAGATTAAATTTTTAAATCCCTTGATTGTTTTAATAAACAGCGATCTCGAATCGATTGGCAGGCACATGACAAATTTATAATTATTTATTCCTAATTTTTAACAATTATCAGAATATTTGTTTTTATAAGAGTTTATATCACCGGAGAAATAATAAATTTCGAGATTAACACGAAACATGCATAAAGTTTGAAAATTTAGCGAATAATTTTAAAATTATATTCCAAATATAGTTAAATCATGTAAAATAAAATTTTTTTTTTTAAAACTAATACCTTCAGCAGATTTCCCTAGAAATCTGACTATCTAATTTCTTTCTCATTTTAGATAAGTTATGATATAAAATAAAGGTTTATCACTTTAAAAATTAAAACAAAAAATATATAAAATTTATTTAATATGGGAAAAGTGTTAGGGTTAGGCCATATACCCTTTAAAATATTTTAAGAATCCTCTCCGCCCCCCAACCTTCCTCCCACTCATATAGATGTCACGTATAACGAAACGAACTTTAGCGTTCTGGTTCTATCGATAAAGTCCTAAGCAGTCTGGTCTAAGACTTGAATTGTGCAATGATACATTTTACGCTGGAACCTTTATTTTATATTTATTTGTTTTCGTAAAAAAAAAACTAGAAAATGAAGAATTACCACTCAGACCCGAGAATATTACGAACGATAATAAAAATTCGTCCACCCTATCCTCCTTGCTTACCTCCTCGGACGCCTTCGTCATGCTACACCACCCCTCTCGTCGAGACGGTAGCAACAGCGAGGGGGAAGCGACGCCCAACGAAGGCGCCGAACGAAAGAAAGACAAGACCAATCCGAATGTCAACGACGCGACCGGTCACGTGATGAACGATATTCGCATCGCGAAAAAGGTATTCTTCGACGATCTAACACCCCAAAAAAGTTTTGCCGGAATAGCGAACGATCCCCATCTTGATACGAACCAAATTCCAAAAACATCAAAAAATAGCCCTAGGGCTAAAACCAAACGTGATTACGACGATGACATTGTCAATCAAAATGCATCCTCGAGAAAAAAACGAATTCTAGTGGTGGCTTCCCCTTTTGTCCCAATGCCCAAATGACATAAAAAAAAGGAGCGTTGTTATTTGTCGAAGGAAACGGAAACTGTGGAGGTCCTTAATAACGAAAAATTGGCGAATATAAATTTCCCACCAAAATACCCTCAATATTTTCTCGTCATAAACATTATAAATTATATATAATCATTTTTTAAATGTCAAAAAAAAATATCCTTTATTTATATTATTTAGAAAATTTTAATTTTTTTTTATTATTTAAATAATTTCTTGTACATTAAGATTATTTTATACACATTAGATTTATTTTATGAGTATGTCTGATTTAAAATGTCGCAGTGATATAGAACTTTGTCTTTATTGATTCCTGTATTTTGGACCTATTTTCAAAAACAAAAACAATGTCAAACTTTTTGCCTTTAAAAATGTAGTTTTATTCCTTTATAAAAGTGTATACACCGTTTTATTTCGTTTGAAATATTTATGTTTACGAATGAATACACTACTAATATAACCCTTATATGCAATATATTTATCTTTGTATAACGAAATCTTTTTATTTTTATTATTTTTTTTTACGTATAATAATTTATTTAAAGCATCGTCATAAAAAATAATTCATTAAAAAACAAAATAAAAACTTTTTAAAATGACACATGAAAATTAGGACTTAAATAGCCTAAAACAGGCTGACTCATCATTTTAAAAGTAATTATAGCCGAGCTATTTAAAAGACTAATTATATTATTATTATTTTTTTACTATTTATGATTCGACAACCTTATATGATATTATTATTGTATATTTATATTTATTTTTGATTTATAATAATAATTACTGTTATAAGAAAAAAAATATATATATTATATTAATGTTATTTATTTATTATTGAACCTCTCCAAATAAAGGTATAATATAGAAATCTAAGGTTGCATCTTAACTCATCTTTAGGATCTTAATTCTGAAGCCCTTCAATTTAGAATAGCAGCCAAGATATCTAGAAAGAAAAAGGACCTAGCCTAAGAAATTAGTAGATTTATTTGTCCGGGGGTCTAGGACGTTCATTAATCATCCTAGATTCTTCTAAGCTCTAAGATATTACCATTTAAATATTAATAAATTGAAAAGGAATTTCTTGAAATATGGCGCTCAATAATTCAATAAAATGTTAAAATAATGCTATTTGTTGACATTCTAAAATTAAACAATATTTAAAAAGGTATTTTTTTTTATTGCAGTTTTATTTTTTGGCAAAATCACTACTTTAATCCTCTCTTTATAGATCTAGATCCTTGCATAAGATCTATTTCCCCCCAATCTTAGAAGATTTTTTTGGCTCGAACCAATCTTATCCGTCTATTTTTTTTTCAAAGATCCAATTCAGATCTGAACTCTTACGTTAGAAATAGGCTAGATTCGGATATTAGACTGAGGCAAAAAAAAAACTATCTTTTAAAGTAAGGTCGAAATTATAAACAAGTGCTAATAAAAATTTGAATCTAAATGAATGTTTCCAAATTTCACCGATTGGGGTTTCGCGCAGGCGCTCTGATAATAACCAACCCTAGCTCGCGTCAGAACTTATCTCATTATTTAGCCAATAAAATCAAACTATTTCAAATTTACACCAAAATATATATGTATAATAAATGGCTCAGTAAAGTTCTCGACAAAATTTGATTTGTATCGTGGTTTTCTTTGTCCAATTTAATTTTTAAAATTAATTTGTATATTATTTTATTTTAAAAAAAAAAAATTGGTCAAACCTGCCCCTAATCTATTTTTTTTTACTGGAAATCATTTTTAAAGTTTAATCTATATTTCTGTTAATTGTTCCGCTAAAATATTCTCAGATTTTTCGATTAGGAATTTTTTTTATTATAATAAAAACCTAAAAAATTTCTTGCTTTGTTTTCATTTCTTTCTTTCTTTTGTTCATTTCTCTCTTTCTTTATTAATTATTAAGCTAACCTTTAAAAAGCGTTATTATAAATAGTTAAGAAGTCAAGTATTCTAAAAAAAATACAAAAAAAAAATTAACTTAATATTTTAGTTTTATAACATCTTATTTTCTTCTATCTGTGTTTTTTTGAATCATAAACCGCGCATAAAAAAATTGAATAAAACTGCGATATTTGACACATATTTAATGGCTAGCTTTAGAAGCGAAGAGATGGGATTGTATCAATTCTTTTTCCAGTCCGAGGCCTTGTACGAAACATTATCCCACCTGGGTGAAGTAGGATTGATTCAATTTATCGATGTAAGTGTTTAAAAAAAAAATTAGTAACGCTTTTATCAATTTAGATTAGAGATGAAAAATCCATTTCCGGCTAAGAATAAAGATAAGATTCTCATTTATTTATTTTAAAAAAAAGGTTAGCAAATTGTACTGGCATCTTGCAAACTGACGCGATTCGAATTAACAGCTGATTTGAGTTTACAAAATATTTAAAACGATTCAAAAAATGTAATTCTCTAAATTTTTATCAGCCGCTAAATTTGAGCCTGCCGTAGATTCAGTTTGACTCATCTTAATTTGTTTAAATGTGATCGAAATATTAAAATCCTATTCAGGAAGTGAATATTCTTTAGGAACACTGATTGATGGGTCATAAAATATATTCCACTTAAATTATTCAGGGCTGGATATGTTAGATCTTTTAGATTTATATTTTAGTTTTATGAAAAGTTTACCCTTTTTTTTAAACCATACTTGAATCGACTCTTAAAGATGAACCACAAGGTCAACTTGTACAAGCGTAAATATACGGGCGAAGTGAGGAGGTGCGAAAAGGTGGAAAGAATTTTGAAAATGTTACGCAGCGAGTGTTCGAAAGAAGGAAATATTTTTGCGACCAATGACGAGGCCCTGTCAGGAGATTCGAAACAATATATGGATAAAAAGCCCTTCACCTATAGAGAGTTGACAGAATTGGAAGTTATTTATGAATCTCAATTCCACTATTGAATTTAATTTTTTTTTAAGGGAATGAGAAGAGGGGGGAGGACTCATATTACTAAACCCCAACCGACATGGGCAGTTACGATTTTAACGATGAATTTAAATGCAGACCCTAAATTCAGTTATATGTTTATCAGAGTTGTTAAAGGATCTAGATACAAGTATCTAGATATAAAAGTGTGGTATCTGTATCTAGATAGATTTTTGATTAAAATATCGGTATCTAGATATTATTTTAGACGATGTACCTGTATCTAGATCCATTTAAAAAGTATCTTTTAACAACTCTGATATTTATTAATAAAAATGATGTCCCCTTATATGCATTATAAAAATTAATTTATACGTATCAGGAACCATCATCCAAAATTACATATATATTAAAAAAATCAAAATTTTGAGGGGGCCTTACAAATTTTCAGGGGTCTCGAGTCCCTGCGCCTCCCTCCCCTCCCCTTATTGACCCTCGCTACTGATATGTATGTAGAGTTTAGAAATATTTGGGAGTCAGAACTATGTTTCATCCACGCCCTGGTTATTAGCAAATTTTAAAATTCTTTTGAGTATAGAGTACACCCATCCTACAAATTAAAAACTCCCGAGATGTATACAATATAACACGTGACTCGCCATTTCAATTAACCGAACGCCAAAAACCTCTAAGAACAAGATTTATAATTATTTTTTTAACCCAAGGTATCGTTGGAAAAATTGGAAGCTGATTACAACGAAATTCAAAAAAATTACGATGTTTTACTGACCCAATACTTAGAATTGGCGCAGTTCGACATTATTCGTACAAAAATTAACGAACAAATATGGAATCAGGTTATACAAAATTTGACGTAAAGAAGAACAAATATTAGGGGCTAGAGGAAAATCGCAACAAATTTTTTTTGCATTTTTTCTGGACATCATTAGCGTTGTTAAAAGTTACTTTTTTAAAAGTAACTTGTTATCGTTATAAGTTCCATTTTATATTAAAGTAGCTTAGTTTATCGTGATTTAAAAAAAATATATATGTATATTCTAGAAACAAAACGTTCAGTCAGGTGGAGACATACGAAACGAGGATAGAAGTAATTCTCCCATGGATGCAAGCAATTTACAATCAAACATACCCTTGATGGCAGATCTAATTATTGGCACAACAGATACCCTTTACCCCTCGTTATCCACTAAACCAATATTTAGACAGAGTAGGCCATTACACATAGAGTTCGTTAATATATACTATATTGATATCTTTCCTTAAATATTATGGAATGTGAAATACATTAGGTTTCTCTGAATTCTTCAAAATGTAAATCATTTTCTGCTCTCAGGGGTTACTACTCTGACAGTGACTATTTTATTTTAGTCTTCATTCATGAAAGTGATTAGATTGCTAAGAGTTTATTTTTGTTGATATTATAAGATTTGGTTCTTTCCTTATTTTTTATAATTCTCTTAACTAACCTAATGACCAGAAAATTATTTACCCTTTTATATCATAATTTTTTTTTGGGGGGGGGGGCAATCCCCAATGTTGGATGATTATTTTAAGATTGACTCAGAAGAAGAGAATATTAAAAAATTTAAAGTATACATACACTATTGACCAGTTTGAATTAGGATCTCATCAGTAATAGTATAACTAATTTTGATGTCATTGTATTGTACACTGTGAATATGTAACCACTAAAATTCTGGTCATTTTAAGGTTGTGATCTATTAACTGTTAGAAACTTCATTTATGATATTGAATGCCAGATCCGATATTCGTTATTTCTGATTAAATTTTAAAATGGAGGGATACTAACCTATCTAAGAAAATTAAAAAATTAAATCATTTTAACAGATGATGAGATAAGAATCAGTAATACAACCTTTAATTAATAAATATACTTTTTATGTAATTATTTATATATAATTTGAAAAAATAACGCGCATGCGCTTAGGTACATTGCCGGAATTATTCAAACGGAAATTTTTTCGAAATTCGAGATCATGATTTGGAGGATATGTAGAGGGAACGTATTTATAAAGAGATTTGATCACGTGGAATTTATTGAGGACCCAATAAAAGTTCCTAATATTCATCATTCATTACCAATTCCTTTATAAAAATATATATACTCTAAATTTTTAGGATCGGCCGGCATTTAAAGAGATTCAGTTCCAAACTCGGCTAGGATATTACAGGGTTGATGAGACCGGGGTTATATGGCATGCGGGGTAGAGAGGCAAACATCTGTAACTTTTTCATCTTTAGAGCTAATCAAAATAAGGATGTATTAAATGTTCCATTTAGTAGTAAGGGCTTTGGTATTCAAAATTTATCATAAACAATGATTTGGCAGTTAACCCTTTTTATTGTATTTTATTTTGTCTCAAGGAGCAAAAAGTATTCTTTCAAATTTTATAAAATTATACGATATATTCGTAAATGTTTAAGCTATACCTAAGAAACCTAAACCTAGTAAATAAAAAAAACTGCTAGAGCCATAAGCGCGTTCACTACCTCTGGGGCTAAACGGCAGGGAGTAAATTGGAACATTTGTAAAGCAACCAGGGCAATGACCAAACAAAATATTTTAAGTTAGGTTTTCTGCCTGCGGAATCTATTCTTCACTGAAAATATTTCTACCTATCATATTTGTGAGGATCGTTCTAGAGATCAACCATTTTGGATGGCGTTATTCTTTATACCTAGAACTCTGATGGGGATCTAGGAACAGTTGATCATGGCACACAATTTTTTTTTGTTTTAATTTATATATTAATTATGGTGTTTTATAAATTAAATTTCTATTTTGTCATTTTACCCCGAAAGGGCTAGCCCATTTATCCAGAGAATTGTTGGTAGATAGTAAAAAAAACGCGACTTTTACTTAATCTACAAATAGCTGCCCAAGTATAAGAAGTCCTGTCCCAATAACACCATTAGTTTAAAATTATAAAATAAAGATGAAGTTATCGTGAAAAGGAGCAAAACATCTTCTAAATAACCCCGGTCTTCTTTATCATCTGCTAAGTAACCCCGGTCTTCTTTATCACCACTATGATGATGGGCGTAATTACTAATTACGTTGTTAAAATGTTTAGCAATTGCTTCTCTAGCAATTTCCGCCATAATTCCCATGTATTGTGTGGAGTAAAATAATTTTGTTGACAATCATACAAAATCATCTAGCGGAGAGGAAAAGAGTTATTTTCTTTAAATTATTTCGAAATGTAAACCTTTAATTATTGAGCTATTTGTTACAATAAATTGACCGGAATGATTTTTCCATAAAAAATGGCCTTGGTCACTCTAAAAATTAACCCAAAATTTGCTTAATAAGAATAGAGGTTAGTAACGTGATACAAAACTTATCCTGGAATAAAATAATTTCAGCTTATCGTTCTCTTTATTCGAATAAATTGTATCCCATAAAGTATCTTTTTTAGCGTAAGTTAAATCATCCTTTTATATAAATATATATATATATCCCATCTCCAAAACAGCTGACTTAGCAGCTGAGAAACTTGTATCCATTTTTTTTTAGGCTATAAGCTTGGTTCAAGCCTTGCTGAAGCCATCTCTGATTCTCTCATCTCTCTATTTTGTTTTAGAGGGAAATGATGTACAAGACCGTTTTCGTGGTATTCTTCCTTGGAGACGAGTTTAAAAGTAGGATCATAAAAGTGTGCCAAAGGTAAATAAATAAAACAGTATTAATTTATTTATACATGTTATTAAGTCTATAATTTCTTAAACGCCATTTTTTTTTTATTAAAAAATATATAATTTAAAAGTTTTAAAGCTCCCGTGTATCCCTACCCTCTGACAGACACTGAACAGGCTGGTGTTAGTAAAATCCTATATTCCCAACTCTACGAAATGAACGAAGTTAAAATATTCCACTTATTTATATTGGTTTTCTTTGTTTCTTGTGGAGTAAACATTTATGTATGATTTCTAAAATATATTTCAAGGCCATTTTAATGTAGCTTTAATATTATCGATTGCGAGAAGTAGGACCAGCCGCCCAACTCCAGTTTTTTAAAAAAAAAAAAAATTTAGGGCATTTCCGGTTCGAAACCCGTTTAGGGGTGGGGTGGGCCGGGCCAACCTTTGTAGATCTCCGCTTTTATAAATTCATATATTTTTAAAACAAAGTGAATTTTCTCTTTTTTTGGGATTTAAAAAAAAATACGTAAAATGTAGCATTCCAATTTTCAAGAAGCGATATATACTAATTCCACAAATAGCTTCCGGTGGCACTAATTTTCTGGAATTTTCGTCCTCTATATTTTAAAATATTAGTATTTCTAGAGATTATTATTACTAACTTAAAAAGATTCTGGGAGAAATCTTGCATAGAAAGTTGATAGCAAAAATAAAAATATCACATTAATTAATCAAAAAAAATGGTGATCAATTTCAAGCATAAAATTATATTTAAAAAAAATTGAACTCAAAGTTAACAGGTCATCCAAGACCCAGCTCCTTTTTAAGATATTGAGCCCATGGAGAAAGAAAGAAAGAAAGAAAGAAAGAAAGAAAGAAAGAAAGAAAGAAAGAAAGAAAGAAAGAAAGAAAGAAAGAAAGAAAGAAAGAAAGAAAGAAAGAAAGAAAGAAAGAAAGAAAGAAAGAAAGAAAGAAAGAAAGAAAGAAAGAAAGAGAAAGAAAGAAAGAAAGAAAGAAAGAAACATAATATAATTTTTATAACTGCTAAATGTATATTAGATATTAACGCGAACTAAAGAACACCGACTTCATCTTTTGTTGAAGGTGTCCAATGATGTTAGGATCAACACTGTGAGGCTGCTGAAATCCAAGATGATTTATCACACCATGAATCATTTCAAGTCTGGTGAAGGAAACATGGGAAAATTCATGGTGGGTGAAGGATGGTGTTCTTTAAAAACTATAGACAAGGTCACCAGCGTTCTCGCCATTCCAAAAGTTACCCATATTTAATCCATTGGGATTTTAGGATTTTAATAACCTAATTTGGGTTTACTTGCTTCAGTTCGCGTGTATATTTTTATTTTTGGATGTATTTTATATTCTTTATTTCTTTTCTTCCTTTCTTTCTTTTCTTCCTTTCTTTCTTTTCTTCCTTTCTTTCTTTTAATTTATTTTTCTTTTAAAAATGAGACTCTTTTTTTAGGAAAACGATTATAGTAATTGTCACATGGTTCATCGGATGACGATAGACGAAAATATGGCTAAGAAAATACGCTATACGCCTCCCACCTACATAATCAACAACGAGTACACCTCTATTTTTCAATCAATCGTTAACGCGTATGGACCCCCAAAATATCTGGAACTGAATCCTGGTAACTCGTAGAATCAAACAAAAATGGAGATTACAGATCTATCGTTTCCCTTACTAACAAATTAATTTGATTCCTATCCACCCTAAAATAATTTACGCTCCCTTTAAGAAATATGTAGGGCCAATTGCTTCTACCCTAGCGGGTATTTAGGGGTCGCGGATCTTATTTTAAAATTTGAATGATCTTCATTATGGGGACAAAGAAAGAATGAATGGCATATGATACTAAATAATTGTCATAAGGCGCAATTTAGATTGTTTTATTATTACAACACCCCACTTCCCCCCTCCCTCACCCCGTGTTTATTTTCATATCGTACACATTAACAATGTTATTAAAACCACCTATCCTTAAACACATCTGATTCTTTTATACGTAATAATTTTCGTGTGTGTGTGTGCATTTTAAAGCCCCTTACCTGATAATAACATTTCCGTTTCTATTCGCGATAATGTTCGGGGACGCTGGGCACGGTCTCATAGTAGCCTTACTAGCCTTTTGCGTGATATTCTTCGATAATTCGTATCCGGTTAATTTCCTCAAAAAAGATGAAGTTTTAAATTTATTCACAATTTTGATGCATTATATAATAATATTGGTAATCGGTCAGAAATGTTCTGGTACAGATCGAACAAATAGGCACCTGTCAAAAAAAAAATTCCCGAATTTTTATAATTTTTTTTAAAAAAAATGCTTTATTAACAAGGGGGAAAGCTTTTAAGAAAATATTGATTTTTTCCACACATAGGTTATCAATCATCACGAAAGAAAGAAAGAAAGGAAGAAAGAAAGAAAGAAAGAAAGAAAGAAAGAAAGAAAGAAAGAAAGAAAGAAAGAAAGAAAGAAAGAAAGAAAGAAAGAAAGAAAGAAAGAAAGAAAGAAAGAAAGAAAGAAAGAAAGAAAGAAAGAAAATGAATGAATGATAATACGCAGCCGCTGTGCATTACTAAGAGAAGTAGTAGGTTTAAATAAAATTTAGATAGATTACTAACCTATCCCCGCTTATCTAAATTTTATTCACCGCCAAATATCATTAATCATTTAAGTAACATGTCAATCATAGGCTGTCAGAATGTTTTACGAAGGCAGGTACCTGATATTATTGATGGGCCTATTTTCCATTTACACTGGCGCCGTGTACAACGATTACTTCTCTAAATCCATAAGTTTTTCCGGTTCTAAGTGGTTGATCTTCAATAAGGATTTTGAGAAATCCATGAATGTTCCAACCCGCAAGATTACTCACAAGTATGATCCTCATCGCGAATTCGCGATCGTTGTTTTAGACCCGGTGGTTACTTACGAGAACGTAAGCGATTTTAAGGATTCCAGGAAAATTCGATCTCCGTACATGTACAGCATGGACCCTATATGGAAGGTAGCCAAAAACGAAATCTCCTTCAATAACTCTTACAAGATGAAGCTCTCCATCATTTTTGGGATCATGCACATGACATTGGGACTATTTCTGGGATTGTGCAATCACATGTAAATTACATATTCTTTATAAATCTAAAATATCTCTTGTAAAGTTTTTTGTTTTGTTTCCTAAACAAATATGTATCTCAAATGTTACCATATTTCAGAGTAAGACAAGCGGAGGGCTTACTTTATGTTGTAAAATTGCCCACAAAAAAGGATAATTCTATCTAAAATGAGCAAAGAAAATTCAACATATTTCTGACTTCAATGTTTTGGGGGGTGGGGGGTGGTACTTAAACTCTTATATTCCAACCCCCCCCCCCCCCCTCTAAAGTGACGAGACTATAGAGTTTCACTAATGCATAAATATTTAAAAATTTCTTTTTTTTGCAGCTACTTTAACGAAAAAATTGACATATACTGCTCTTTCCTGCCACGACTCATATTTTTGATTTCTACGTTTGGGTACTTGGCCATATTGATAGTAGTGAAATGGGTTAAGGTGCTAACGGTAGACTCCAAATGTGCCCCCAGTTTACTCCACAATTTGATCCATATGTACCTTTTTTCTGAGGTTAAGGGGGTATGCGGTGATTTTCTGTTTGATAGACAGGTATATCATTATTTTTGATTGATTAATTTGAGGAAATTATAAAACTTCAAACTTGTAGGCTCGATATCCGACTCAGAAAGATAATATAATAACAAGCCTGAACCAGGCCGGGCCACATGAGCAATTTTAATCGGGTTTGGACCGGCCCATAGTATATGGGCCGGTTTAATAATAAATTTCAAATCCAGGATTAAGGCTTAGTGTTGTTAGACGGCTCGCGATATTTTATCCATAAAAATATCAAGCAGACCACCTGAAGATTTTACTCATAGATGTCTAAAGGTTTGGAAATTTATTAGCGAAATCTAGTGGCTTAGACACTTTTCTTCTGTCTGGCTTAAATATTGAGTTTTTTTAAAAATCGGCTCTAATCAAGCCATTCAACAATACCAGTGAGACTTAGTTATAATTAGACCCTCTAAAGGACTGATAGATTTTTTTTTATATCATTTAGAAAACTCTTCAAGTAGTATTGGTTTTCGTAGCTGTACTGTGTATTCCCTGGTTGCTATTCTCAAAGCCATTCATCTTGTATCTTAATGGTTATGTGAGTATTATTCATACAAAGTTCAATCGTCGTATTATATTGTCATTTTTTTTAAAAAATATTATCTATTATAAATTAAGAAAGGGTCTGAATTATCGGAGTGCATGCTGCACCAAGCTATTTCAACCATCGAATATTGCCTAGAATGTTTGTCCCACACAGCATCCTACCTTAGGCTATGGGCACTGAGTTTAGCTCATTCAGGTTTTATAATAAAAATGAATAATATTTTTATTAATATTATTGGCTTATAGTGTATGCTCTATATTATATTTTAACATTTTATCAGTTAATATGGAAGAATCATATTATACTGGAGAATTTATTTATGAAAAAAAAATAAATGCCAAAAGGTGGATTATAAAACCTATACTCTTCTTTCTTTCTTTCTTTCTTTCTATATAATATATAAATGTTAAGCGTCGATGTGTTATTTTTACAACTTTAAATCTTTTAAATTTAAAAAATCTGATTTTGCCGGAAATAAATTCCATCATGTTTGGAATACCAATTTTATGAATTGTAGATAATTTTTTTGCTGTTAGCATCTGAGTAATTTAAAATTTATATTAAAAAAAATAAGTGGAAATATAAATTTTATTAAGTTTACAAGTTCCATGGAAAAACTGTTTTCAAATTCAGAGGGTAGATATTCCAAACATGGCGGCTTACATTTCTGGTAAGATCAGATTTTTAAATTTAAAAAAAAACGCTCAAAAAAGTGATTTAAAGTTGAAAAAATAACACATTGCCGGGAAAAGCACATTGACGCTAACATATATATATTATAAGAAAGAAAAGTTTAAATTAAACAGGTTTCAAATAGGTAATTGCTTTGAAAAGAGATTTCATTATTTCCAAAAAAAAATAAATAAAGAATTATCCAAAGTTTTGTGGAACATGATATTACGAATGGGATTTTCGTGCCCTCATGGACCCTTGTTCTGTGGAATAAAGATGTACTTCATGTTTTCGATATGGGCGATTCTTACATTCAGCATACTAATCTTGATGGAAGGGCTTTCGGCATTTTTGCACGCATTAAGACTGCATTGGTAAGCATAAATTTTGTATATCCAGCAGGGTTATCTAGATATAAATATGTTATCTGTATTTGTATCTGGATAACTTTTTAGGCGATATATCTGTATCTTTTTACAATTCTGATATTCAGTATCATCGCCCGTACTGAAAAACATTTAAATTTTAAAGAAAACAAGAAAGAATAAGTTATTTAAACTAAAAAATTTTTATAGTGAATATGAAATATATATAATATTTTTGAAATAAGTGTAGAAAAGCTTTAAATGATAATCCAGTGATGGCCGAAGATACGTAACCCACCATCAACTGAATCCAAAAAATCTAATAGATTAGCCTTAGACTAAATCTAGTCTCACGAGAACATATAGAAACAGAGAAAATAGAATTGAACCACTAGAATTAAGGGGAAAATTTTGAAATAATTATAAATAATTTGTAAATAATAATCCAATGATGGCCGATGAATACATAATCCACCATCAGTTGATACAAAAACTAATAGATTAGCCCTAGACCAAATCTTATCTCACGAGAACATATTAGAAACAGAGAAAATAGAATTGAGCCAATAGAATTAAGGGGAAAATTTTGAAATAAGTATAGAAAAGCTGTAAATAATACTCCTATGATGACCGACGAATACATAATCCACCATCAGCTGATCCAAAAAATCTAATAGATTAGCCTTTGATCAAAATCGGTCTCACGAGAACATATTAGAAAGAGAGAAAATAGAATTAAGGGGAAAATTTTGAAATAAATATAGATAAATGATAATCCAATGATGCCGAATCCACCATCAGCTGATCCAAAAGATCTAAAAGATTAGCCCTTGATCCAAATCGGTCCCACGAGAACATACTAGAAACAGAGAAAATAGAAATTGAGCAAAATTGAATTAAGGGGGAAAATTTTCGAAAAACAGTTTTGAGGTTACCATTATATTAACCCTAATTTTCTTTTTCTATATTTTCATAGGGTTGAATTTCAAAGAAAATTTTATGACGGAGGCGGTCGTTTATTCGAGCCCCTATCTTTCGCTAACGTACATTACCCAATCAAAAGGGAGTAGAAAAATTTATCCAATCATTTATTCTCAGCGAGACATGTTTAATTTACTATTTGGGGAAATTTGGACCAATGAAAATATTTCATATTATCCCGGTTTAATTCGAAATAGAATAATGAATTGTTTTTAAAAATTTTATTAAATGTATGAATGATTTTTTTTTTTTTGTAAAAGAAAAATTTTAATAAAAAAAAAAATCCCGATTTAAATCAATCCTCTGGGAAGAATTAAAAATCTGATCGATGAACGTATAATGATACCTAGACTGACGACGCGTTGTTCGTAATAATGCATTCGAGAGGGTCGTTGAATGCAAATCAGCTGGAGCCGCCATTTTGGTAACCCATATAGTAATTATTCTCATGTTAGCCTACCTTCCTTATCATCTCAATGATCGGGCAATTCTTTATTAAAGTTTGCGTCAGATCTTAGGAATGAATTGACCTATCGTTTAAATTTTTTTTAATAATGATACGGGTAACCAAGATGGCGTCCCCAGCTGTTTTTCATTGATGTTACACTTTTAATGAATGGATCATCGGTCTAGGTATTATTATATGTCATTGAATCCGATAAAGGAGAAAGAAATGCCCATATTTGTCTTTTTTTTATGATGTAAAATATCGGATAAAAAAGTATTAACTTTGTCGCCTCAAATTTTATTGTATTCATTTTATCGAAATTGTCGTTAGATTTTAGTTATTGCGATAAAAAATGAATATATGAATTTAAATATATTCATAATAATAAAAAAATTTTTTTTATCTATTAAGGACTCTTGGAAAAAAAAAGACTGCTTCTGTGAGATTACGATTCCTAAAGCTGATAGTGATCCTAGGAGGGGCCAAAATGAGATCATGTTATATTATTAGGAGTTAGAGGATTTTCTAGTAATCTCTCATCAGTTAAACAAGATCTTCTGTATCTGTTATTAGTTTTGTTAACGGGAGAAGAAAAAAAAAATTCGAATTTCAACATAAGGTGTCATTCTTGTCCGATATACACACATGTATATTATAAAAATCATCTTTCCAAATAAGTGTATACTCACAGCAATAGAATATGTAAACTCAATATCACTGAAGGTTATTTTAGCCACTTATATTATAACTGTTCATTTATTCGACTACTTCTATTCAGCATTATATAAAAAATGGACAGATATTAACAGCCGTCACCAAGATGGGCATATAGAGAACCTTAGCTCCCCTTAACATATTTTTTGCGTTTAATAATCTTGAGTTACAATTCGCAATTATTTTTTTTAAAGTATATAACAGAGGCTGGCCGTATTTTAGCTTTTTTTTTAAAAAAATATATTCCGGCCTGGACTACGAAAAAATTTTTTTTTGTAAATACCCGAGCCGGGCCGTACATTTTAGTATTTTAAATCGCCATTGTTACCTATAAAAATTTAAAATAAATATATTTTAAAAAATTCGGAGCTGGGCTTGTAAATATAAAACCTGGAGCAGGCCGAAATCCGGGCCCTGCCGTGAGGTACCTCTGCAGGTCTCTGGTATATAGATATATGTTAGCATCAATATGGTTTTACCGGCAATATGTTATTTTTTCAAATTTAAACCATTTTTAAAAAAAAAATCTGATTTCATCGGATATGTAGTGATAGTTTTCGGGCTAAAGCTTGGTATAGTCGATTCTTTAGCCGGCTAAAAATCGGCCTAAAAGGCTAAAAATATAGTAATTACACAACTATAATCTTCTTGAGCGATTTCAAAAAAACCACTTTTAAAAGATTAATAAAATATAGTTCAATATAATTTTTTAAATATCGAACCTCATTGCAAATGGTATCTCTGCAGGTCACCGTAATTCAATTTTTTTCCCTTATATATTTCTTGTGAAAGTTTAAAAATTTTTTCCTATTTTTCCCAAACATATTTGGGGACACTCGTAATTTTCCTACTTAAGCATAATTACAAACACGAAAAGTGCATGTTTACGATTTAATCATCTCTCGTTAAAATTATAAATTTAATATATTAAATGTCAAGAAGTCAGTCTATTCTCGTGAAAAGAAATGGCACGCTCATCATCCTTCCTTTCGTTCGTAAGACTGAGAACGGGTTGCGAGGTACTAAGCTTTAAACTCTTCAGGAATCGATGCCTCTCTCTGTATTCTTTAATGGCCTGAAGGTAAATTGGCCTTGATACGTTGTGTATATTGTGTATGATGGCCCCTAGATTCCACTCTGCACTCGACAGAGAATGATCAATCGTGAATGGGCCTAAATGATAAATAATCGTGGAAAGAATATATTTAAATCAAACTTCCTATACATTTTATGAGGATAACTATAAATTCAAAAAAACTAATCCAAATGCCTTAAAATGCAAGGAACTGTTTTAAAATTTTTTTTTACCTGACTGAATCCTTCTCATGCTAATGGAATGACTGCAAGATTTAAGATCGGCACCGATATCGTGAATAACTTGGCACAGGTAAGCTGGGAATTCATTCACGGCTGATATTTCTGGGAATAAAAATTTATCTATGTATTTACAAATATATTTAATTCCTACAAGCGACATAAAATACTAGCTAAATATCAAAAATTTACTTATGAAGCATCATCCTAAATAATATCTTTCTAATATTGATAACACATTCTTCGATTACAAAAAAAACTTTGTAGTTATAATGTTTTAAGATATTTAGATGTGTTTTTTTTTTATTAAAAGGAGAATTTTTTTCGTTGAATAAAATTTTGCTAAACGTCAGTATTTTCAAGAAAATCCTGGTGATAGCTGATTGAATTGATGGGCATTCGGTTATATAGAGACTTTGAGCATAAATCTTACCTGAAACCCACCCCACTAAAATACAGACACGAGTTCGAAGGCTCATGATTCAATCCTTTCGAGAAAAATAAAAAAATTTCAATCTCCAAATGATTGGCTGCAAATAGCTAATGGGTGCAGAGCATACCATTTTCGCGAGATATGATAAAAAAATACGAGTGACACTTATCTTCATCATGCAGCCTATTTGGATTTAAGGGGTTATGATAAGAATCTCCGCTATTTCTATTTAGCTGCTGTTCCATTCACGGTTAGACTTACAGAAAAATATTTTATTTAATAAGAGAAGTGTAGAAAAATATTAGGCGAATCTGAAGATCTTTATTGGCTTAATAGAAATTATTTTATAAAAATGTTTTTAATAATGAAAATGAATAGGAAAAAAAAAGGAATTCTTGAAACCTTTTGAACCCCAAATTTTTAAAAAAGGGTTTGGCCGATGTCCAACAAAACCTCGAGAATTTGAAGAGTTCGGATTCTCGGTCCTGTCCTTAACTTTCAATTATGACTCATTTTCTTGTCAGTTATAGATTTTTCTAGAAGATCCTGAAAAATTTTTTCCCGCTTATCTTATATCACACTTATTATCTCTATAGATTGTCGATACGTTATTAACAAATAATATATCTGGATAATCTGTATCGATCCATCAATAGAAAATGTTCCATTAAATTGATTTTAAAAAAAAATCTAAGCCTTTACCTAAGGAAAAATACGGTGGCCTAAATTCGAGTAATTTGATATCGGTTATTATGGGAGGAGATAAGTCTAGTATTGAGTTGAGCAATAGCCCTTTACTGGCCAGGGTATAAGCCGCTTGGGATCGAATGTCGTCTACTCCAGAGTATTTGATCAATTCTCTCCTGTGATTGCATTTGATGATTGACAAGATTCTTTCGAGTTTGGTAAGGCTCACGTGATCTTTGTGATTGGCATTTTTTTTTTAAATTAATTTATTAGGTATTGTCAGAGCTTCGTACCGTGCATCGATATGAGTTAAGATTTGAATTTTGATATTTTATTTATTTTTTAAGTTAAGATTACAAAAAATTCCAATATATCTTTAATAAAGCGTCCAAACTGAACGTTACAATGCAGCGTTTTAAAACCATATTAATAATTTAAAATACAAAACGCAAACGTACTCAATTTAAATGAATGCAATTAAAATGCTTTATTTGCATTTTGAAATGCAGCGATGAAATGTTCAATTTGTGTGCACTATAAGAAGCATATTGGACTCCATTGTTGGCAGATTTACAAATGATGATTAATATATAAAAATTCCTTATCACAAGTCTAGTGTGAAGAGAATCTTAGCAATTTGATAGATTTATGGGGTTAGAAGGATATTTAATAAGCATTTTCTAGTAAATTTCATCTGAATTATATGATTTATATATATACACATATATATATATATACTAAAAATGGCTTTAAAATAATGCCAGGAAAGAAAGGGTTAAATGGTCCAGGTGGGGCTAAGTAAGTAGTATACAAAAAACAACCCTGTGAATATATCCTTTACCTTTCGAAAATAAATTACACTATGATTATTTCTTCATATTTTAAGAGATGTTCTGACTAAATTACCAAATTTATAAATAAAATAGTAAATTCACAAAAAATCTAAACAAGTTTCTTAAAGATGCGCTTTTGTTTTTAAAATAAATTTCTAATAATACTCTTACTAAAAGGTTTTCTTTGAGTAGTTATTCCATTCTGTGTATAATCACTTGTTGCTCTGCCAAATTTTCCAGTACATATATAGACCTTCAAGTATGATAAATAATTAAAGTTTAGGAGTATAATAAAATAATAAACATTTATTGATCGGGTTTTTTTGAAATTAATGATATCATATTTGATTGTATTAATTGCAACCAAATGTAAACCAGACATAAAAGTGTTTGAATTAAATAAATAGGACACACCAATTTCTTCAGGGACATAACGTGCACCGACACCTTTAATTATAATAAATTAATATACCAATATTCTACATATATTATTCCGTTAAAAATAAGATAAACAAAAATAATACTCAATATATGATCTGATAAGTCTATTTTCTCCTTTTTATAGGTTTCCACTTTATTGGTTGTTAAATCAATGTATTCTTTGTAAAATTCCAACTTATTAGGAGGCCTGGGTTCTAATCCATTAAGTTCTAGTATAAATGTTTTTATAAAAATTTAAAATAAATTTGCTATACCATTGGATATCTTGTTTTTTAAGGATGAAACAACATTAGCCATATTCAAATCTGGTGGTTTATATATGCAGAATACACCTTTAAGCAAATTCCAAGCATGAGGTCCATAAGTTAACACTTGCTTCATTCAATTTTTTTATGTTAAAGATACTTAATATAGGATTTGATGACCATATATCCACATTCCTCTGTTATTAATTTGTACTCAAATATTTTTATTAATCTTATATTATTTATTATATTTCATGTTGATGGATAGGTAAAAAAAATTTTCTAGCAGATGCCAGATAGAAATATATATTTTTGACATTATAAAATTAACTAAATCTCCAGCTAGCCCTGGTAATCTATGGTCGTAATATTCTCCCAGATACGATTGGCCCAAATACCCCCCCCCCCCCCCACCAAATAGATATCGCTAGCTAGGCGCTTTAGAAGCTAAAATACAATTTTTAAATTAGGATCAAATTTGAAAAATGGATTCATCTAAGTACCCCTCCCTTCCCCCCAACCACCAAATAGATATCACTAGCTAGGGGCATTAGAGTCTAAAATATAATTTTTAAATTAGCACATAGGCGTAGCCGGGGGGAGGCAAGGCCCTTTCTCCTCTCCCCACTCCCTGACCCCCTAAAAGGCATGCATATATCTTAAACAATAATAAGAAAGAATGTAAAAGTTCATATTTTTTTATAAAACTATTCATCATAATTTATATATTTTTGGAAAAAAGCATTTATATATAAAAACAGTGAACCAAAAATGCTTTTTAAGAAATGGAATATAAGCCAAAGAAAAGTCTTAAGACAAAAGTGAAATGTATTATAATTATTAATAATAGATTCATAAAATTTAAATAATATAATATATCACATATAATTTTTTATAAAGTTAGTAATTTTAATTTATTTATCTTAATAAAAGTAAAATATAATAAAAAACAATTGATAAAATTAAATAAAAAAATTAAAGCACAATACAAACAGTGGAATATTATATGTCGTAGATTTACAGTATATCTAATTTTATCAATTATCATATGACAATCAAGTAATTTTTACCAATATAACGAAATACATATTTTACAGAAAACTATAAAATATTAATAAGGACATCAGAAAATATCTTTTAAAGACATTGTGGATGAGTAATATGAAGATTAATTTTTAATATAATTTTTAATTTAAAATAAATAGATGGCGTTAAATAATTGAATGCAAATTATTGCTATATTTATTATTAAGAGCATTGATTAGTAAAATTTGTTAAAATATTAACTGTAATATATTCTCTAACTGTCAAATATATCTGTAAAAGTGGAATTTTACCTAGTATTTTGTAACTAATTCTATATAATAGAAGAATACAACTATATGCCTACTTACTTTTTATAAATAAATTTCCTATACTTGTTTCGAATAAAATATTACCATGCTTTTATATTAGTGTATACAAGTTATTTATTATATTTTTCATAAACTAATAAAAATATATTTTATATTTTTTGTTCCAGGTTTTTTTTTATTAAAATTAACCTCCTATCTTGTAAAAAATATTTTATGACTATATATAGACTAAGGTAATCCGGTCAAAGGCCAGCCCAACATGGGGTCAGGGGGATGTTTTATTTTAATTTATATTTGATATGTTAATGATATTAATATATTGAAATAAAGACTTACTCTTTCCAAAAAAAATGTGAATACAATATGTTACAATGATTTATTTATAAAATATATTGATTATTTGAAGTGCTTACTTCTCTTGATTTTCATTGGATAGAATATAGTTAGGTTAATATTGATCGGTTTGTTCAACCCAAGTCCGCCTTGTTCGCCCTTCGGGCCGTTGTGGGTTTTAAAAAAATGAAATAAAACGAAGCCAGAGAAAAGTTAAGCTAAACCAAAACGTTGCTATGACAAAAACAATTCAACGAAACATTTAGACAAAAAACTAAGAGACCTAAAACTACGCAACAATACTAAGCCTAAGAAAACGAATCAAAGCCAAGCAAACTCAAAAGGAAAATCTACAAAAACGATTCATTCAACAGAAACACTATTATAATATCGTATAGTAAAAAAAAGGAAATTTAACTTTCAAAAAAATTGTTATACTTTAAGTTAAGTTAAATAAGTAGCAATACATAAAATATAGACTTCAGACTCCTCGATTATTCATATTTCTAAGGGTTGTTATACCATCTGTCTAATACCAATTCTTGTAATTCTCCTATTCATTCCCGTTTCTGGCATATAAAGCATACACTAATGGGATCGTATTCATTTTTATCTTCTAAAGTATTCTTGATTTTTTTTTAAAAAATCTTATACCAAATTCACGATCATAATATCGTGAAAAGTGAATTGTTCTAATAATTTAATATATTATTACATAGTTTTCTTTTTTTAACAATCAATAATGTATAAAGTAGTGTTGTCAAACCGCTCGTTTTGAGCCGATTTTTAAAAACGGCTAACTCCAGAAAATATTACGAAACAAAGAAGAAACAAAGGTCTAGACATACATTATAGAAATTTTTAGACTTAGGCACTATTTTTCTGGCTAAAATATTGAGTTAGCCGTTTTAAAAAATCGGCTACACTGGTATGAACTGTGTCATTATAATTCAATAAAAAAAAATTGATTTCTCAACAGTATAATTGGGTAATTACTATTTTTAGCCGTTATTGCCAATTTTAAGGCAGGTTAAAAAATCGTATAAAGCAAGTTTTAGCCGAAAGCTATCTATTTTGGCCTCGGGGCTTTTCGTAATAAGATTGCAGCTCAAATTTGGGAAAAGAAACTAATATAAATTAGAGCGCCGAAAAGCTAAAGGATTTTTAACGGCAGGAGCCTGAAGATTGTGTTGAATAATCAGCTGATATTTGGCCATTAACCAACTATACTCAACAGTTTATTACACAGAATTTAATTGGACACAGAGTGTTAGCCAAAATTATCATTTTCGAATTTAAATCTAGCTTAAAATCAAATTATAAGTAATACGGGTGCCTTATTTAAATTATCGAATCATCTAAAGGGTTCAAGGTGAGTTTGACATTCACAGGATATTAATAATAGGCGTCTCTAAAATGGGGCAAAAGGGAAATTAGAACAGAAGAGAATAGAATAGAATAGAATAGAACAGAATAGAATAGAAAAAAATGAAAATAATACGCGTCACTAAAATGGCGGCAAAAGTGAAACCATTTTTTTTTTTTTTTAAATATGTAAAGAAATGTCCCAGGTGAAACGAAAGAAAGAATGATCTTCAATATTAAAACTACAATTCATTCATACATGTTTTCCTTTCAGAAGAAATCTGAAATGAGTTATGTAAATGTAAACGACTCTCTTGGTCTCTGCAATTAAATTACACGGTATCAAAATAATTCAAAAAAGGTTAAGTTTTGTTCCATCTGTGTGGAATCAGATTGGAATCAAAGTAATCTTTGATTGATTATGAATGACCAGATTACACATAAATATCTTTTGTAAAACTAAGCCAGAATTGCCATCTTTGTTTCTCTTGTAGGCTTTAGATTTTGATTTTTTTTAAGCCCTCTGTGTAGTTTAATTTTTTCTCTAACATTATTTTTTGTTTTAAATTTCTTTCTTTGAACCTGGTTTCAAGGGATTTTTGTTGAATAATATCATGAAAAGCATTCTCAGTTGCATTTTTATTTCTTTTCGTGATACCCAGCAATAAACACTTTATATCTCGTCACATCGATAATAGAAATTTGAGTCAATTATGTCAAAGGAGAATTAAAACAATTCTACATCTTAATATAATACTCGTTAATGTCATTCAAATATTTTTTAACATGGATAATAAGACAGGTGTAATTATATGTATTTTTTTCAAATAATTACTTTCATAAATAATTAATATGAATTAAAATAATCATCCTTTTTTTAAAAAAATAAAATTATTGAGTTCTAGTTATCGTAAACTCTTAAAAAATATTTTGGTTCGGTTTGGGATAAGATTCTAAAGATTTCCCGATGATTCCATTTTATAAACACTGATCTTGGTATTTGCCTTTGAAGCGCTTAGAATCGGAAGTAGATCTACCATTTTTTTTAAAATGGGGTTAGGATGGGTGGGGGTAGGTCTGGTATCTTCTGTTGGTTGAAACATCTTCTCATCGGATAATCAGAAGAATTCCACCAAGGATTTTAACAAATCTTTTACGGGTTTTAAGATGTGTTTTGGAGATTGCTAGAAATTTTGTCCCATATGATTTATCTTTCCACATCTGTAGATTACCTGGAGACTATTAAGAATATTTTTGGGAGCAGAAATCATCGAGCCCACTTTGTATAGTGAACCGGATAGGACTTTTATCCCACAACAAATACTGCAGATAGAAATTCTGACGTCCCTGTTTCCCAACCTAGTAGGGTTTTCTATCCTAAACGCTTCGCGTTCCTTTTCAAAGGTGAACTGCTTGTAATATTTTTTCTGAAGTTATTTTTTAAAAAATTTTCATATATGATTTATATCTATAAAGTAACAAAATAACTCTTCTCTTCTCTCTCTTCTCTTCTCTTCTCTTCTCTTCTTCTCTTTCTCTCTCTCTTCTCTTCTCTTCTCTTCTCTCTCTCTTCTCTTCTCTTCTCTTCTCTCTCTTCTTTTCTCTTCTCTTCTCTTCTCTTCTCTTCTCTTCTCTTCTCTTCTCTTCTCTATAATGTTATATAATAATATTTCTAACATATCTATCTTATTTCTATTATTTGCCTTTTTAAAATTTGTTTTTTTTGTTGCTTATTTTAAATAATATTTGTATAATGTGAAAACCTAGAATTGAATAAGACGGGTGGATCTCATATAAGTGTAATTATATATGATTGCATGACTGATGGGGTAGGTATGGGCTGTAATTTTCTGATGGAATTGGTATGGCCAAGAAATACCTTTACCAATTATTAAACAAATATGCCATTTTCAGCAGAGGAATTTGCATTTTATATAAAATGATTAAATCCTATGCCATTTATCAAAGATCCGCTAATAAATAAATTATTGGACAATAGAATAAAAGTATTCTTCCCCCAAGCCAACTATCATATTCAAATACCCTAATGCACTCTTTCTTTCAAATGATTGAGCCGAAATTAGTCGACATTTAGCCATTAACCCGACTATTACTCAACAGTTTATAAAATACAGCATTTAATTGGCCATGGAGTCTTAGACTAAAGATTCTACCT